TCCAGTGTAACTCTCATTTCTTTTACAGCATCCTCATCAGATGCTTTTCTATTCTCTCTTTAGATAATTCCACTGATGGGGAGCTGGCTGTTTCTTAATACAGTGCTAATTATTCTTATATTAAAGAGATATCCCACTTCTTTTAACTTTCTCCGGTAGGTCCTACCGAATTCAGCCTCTGAACTGATCTAGAACAAGTCTGCAAGTCTGCTCCCCCCCTCCTCACCCCCGTCCCCAAGTATGTGAATCCCTTCAAGTCTGAGGATGGCATTGTGTCGTCTTTAGTCTTCCCTGCTTCAGGCTACAAATTTCCGGTTCTTTGATTTATTCTTTCAGGGGTAGCATTTTCAAACCCCTTTACATCCTGAATGCTATTCTCTAAAATACTCCACTTTATCAATGATGCTTTTAAAATTTAAAAGCATTCAATTCTTCCAAATTGAACGGAGTATTCCAGTTGTTGAGGAAACAAGGAACAGGGCTTTTAGTGATATTTGTACTTTTGAAAGTTGGCTAGATAAGCAAAGATCAATATGGTTTCTTTGTGAGTCTGATAGTGTCTAAATTTTTAGTCAGGTCGGCTTTATTCCTTAAGTGCAAAGCACATCGGGGGAGGGGTGACAAGGCAAAAATAATGATCATCACACAGACTGTTGTTTGGTTGCTGGTACTGCCAGCTAAGTCCGAAAAGGCAACAATGTCATTACGTAGTATGGTTGTATTACAATAAGCTCTTTGTGATGTATACCTCCGTTGTAGAGTGGGTGGAGTGGGATCTTGTTAAAATACAGATTCCAAATATTCCTAATTGTGAAGATTTCACAAACTTAAATCTTTAAAATTGAAAGAGGTGATGATATTTGGATATAATGTTTGATTTTGGTAGTGGAGAGCAGTAATTGATTTGTAACTCATCATTCTATTGACATTGCTTTGTGTTTTACACTGTAGGATACTGTGTGGTTTATTTTTGGATCCAATGTCGATTTTATTTTTTGTCATGGTCAGAAGTATGAATAAAAATTTCCAAAGATCACTAACTTATATAAAAGCATCAATCACTAAATTTTTTCTTCATATTGTGGCATTCTAAAGATTAGGAATATAATTTGACTTAATTTTATGGTGTAATTTATTATTTAAATGAGAAGTGGGCTCAAGCCCCTAAACCAGATCAGTAAAAAGAGAGAAATGAGTAGAACTCTTATTCATAGATAAGAGTTCTATCCAAAACATGCAACCAAATCATTTGTTGTTTCCCAAGTCGTCCTCTTCTTAAAACATACATTTGTCCAGGTTGTTAATGTCTCTGGTAACTAGACAATCACCATTTGGGAAACGGTAATTGTTGCAGGCTACATTCATCAATGGATGCTAAAATTCGTGGGTGAAACTGTGATGAGAAACAGTATTGATATAGTCTCAAAGTCTCCCCCCGCAAGAAAAACGTACAAAGGGAAAACTGGTAATCTTACAGTGGAGAAACCTAGTAGATACAACCATAACCAAGTGACCAGAGTTACCATCATCAGTAATGGGACATGGACATCATCATGTGCCTTCTGGTATGTTGCAGTGAGGAGGGCATATTACTTCTGTGTCGTGCTTGCCAAAATGCATAACCTGAATTTGGTCATGAGGAAGCATTAGACAAACCTAGATTGAGAGACATTCTTCAAAATAGTTGGCCAGTACTCTTCAAGTGTCAGGGTCATGAGACAAAATGTCCCAGATGGGAGGAGACATACAGCTGCATGCGGTGTGTGATCCTGGACCAGAAAAAAGACATCAGTGGGGCAGTTGGCAAAAAATTTTTTTATAAGATTGGCTCTAGATTATTTAATAAATCTTGTGTTGATGGTTAATTTCCTGGTTTTCATCTAACTATGGTTGTATAAGACATTAACATTTGGGGAAGCTGGGTGAAGGGTACACAGGAATTCTTTGTACTATTTTTGGAACTTTTGTAAGTCTGAAAGTATTTCAAAGTGAAGTTAACAACAACAGAAAGTAATGCAGTTCAGCTGAGAAACTAAGACTTTCGTGCTTTTTCTTCCTGTTTCTCTCTTGATTGGTCAGGGGCTGGTTTACTTTGCTTCCCAAATTTCCACTGTGGTCTGGATAGCTGGGGTTTCTAAATAAGGGATTCTGGGAGAAGTGAGCCATTGCCATATTGGATTGCAACTACACTTTGGAAGGTTTCGTGTAATTAATTAATTTACTTATTTATTTTTGTACAGAGCTGTAATTACATCTTTGGGTTTCCCATGGCTCTGTAGGTTATTTGAGCTTTACTGTTATAGCCACCAGAATCCCGACTTGGAAACTTAGCTCTGTAATTAATTTACTGGTTTGTTTCTGGTTTTATTAGTATGTTCTGGATTCAGGTTAGTCTCATGGATTCTTCTTCCACTATGTGTCATATATTATTGGATTTCATATTTGTTGGTTGTCTCTTAGGAAGAGCTGAAAGTTGTATAAAAATATATTATTTAAACTTGAAGTATCATACTAAATATCTTATTTTTCTCTCAGAAAAGACAGTCTGGAGTTTTTATAAATATATTGAATAAGTAAACTTACACTGGCACAAGCACCAAATGGTAACCTTTTATTGGGTAATAATTAGAATGGAGGAAATTAATACATTGGGAAATGTTTTGGTTAGCAGGAGCAGTTGTTAATGTGTGACTCATAGATTCTTCAATTTAGAAGAAGCTTGACAAGGCTGTTTTAACCAGTGTGGGAGAGGGGAAGAACATGGACTTGGGAGTCAGAAGACCTAGGGTTTTTTTTGTTTGTTTTTGTGAGGAAGATTAGCCCTGAGCTAACATCTATCGCCAGTCCTCCTCTTTTTGCTGAGGGAGATTGGCCCTGGGCTAACATCCGTGCCCATTTTCCTCTACTTTATATGTGGGACACCTGCCACAGCACGGCTTGATAAGTGGTGCGTAGGTCCGCACCCGGGATCTGAACATGTGAACCCTGGGCTGCCAAAGTGGAGCATGCGAACTTAACTACTATGCCACCAGGCTGGCCCCAGAAGACCTAGTTTTACATCCCAGATCTGTCACTGCTTATTGTTGTCTTGGACAGGTCATTTAACTTTTCGGAGCCTTAAGTTTCTCGTCTGTACAATTGGAATAATAATAGCATCTTGCAAAGCTATTGTGAGAATTAAATGAAGTAGCATGCAGTGTACCTGGCCTAACATGGGCATTTCATATATGCTGGCTCTGTTCTTACCTCCAGCTAGGTTTATAACTAAGGTGTCTGTAGTTGATGAGATTCTGCTTTGCTCGTAAAGACCTATAGAAAGATGATAGCTCTTGTCAGTAACCTCTATCAGTATTTCACACGTCTTTTTGTCAAGAAATTTTTCCATATCTCTTATTCCAGAGAAATTATTTTCTTTTATATGTTAGCCACATTGCCTATTACTCCAAAATCTGTTAGACAAGTGTCACTCATTTGCTAGACTTTCTTGGTGTTTTAGTATTCTTATCTGAAATCATTTGATACAAATAAACGTTAAATTTATTTTAGAAGAAAATCTTCTATGCGACAAAGACACAAGAAGATATATAGACAATTGGAAGGAAGCATTTCCATGTACAGTTTCTGTTCAAGTTTTAGGTTTGAGTTGGCATTTTGATCCTCTGAGAGAGACCAGTTATTCCTAAACCTCCAGTTATTGTTCCTATTTCACTCCAGTTTCAAAAGTACTTTCTTTTATTATTAAATTTTCTGATTTTGATATTGTACTGTGCTAATGTAAGTGAACATCATTGTTTTAGGAATTACTGAAGTATTTAGGGCTGAAGGGGCATGTCTGCAACTTACTCTCAGATGGTGAAAAAAATGTATGTGTGTGTGTATATATAGAGGAGGGAAGAGGGAAGAAGGGGGAGAAGGATATAGCAGCTGTCGCAATGTTAACAATTGGTGAATTTGGGTGAAGGGAGTTCTTTGTGCTTTTCTTACAACTTTTCTCTAAGTTTCAAAACTGTCTCAAAATTATATTGGATTGGGTTTTATTCCTGTACCCCAAGGAGATGTAAATGAGTGACAGTTTTGGAGGGAGGGAGGTTAGAAGCACCTAGGTAAGCTTAGAAGAATAAGTAATAAGTGAGTAATTCAGTAAGTAATAATTCACTGGGAAAAAAGTTAGTTGCTCCTTTAATTTAACTTTTTTTTCATAGCGAGAACAGAATTCGCTTTTTGTGACAGGGCCTAAATAGAGAATAAGCTGCTGATGTATTAAAGCAGAGTAAACTACTTGGAAATGAAATCAGATGATAAAAAGGAAAGAATTTTTTTTATATATTTATAAGACATATACAAGGATAAGCAAAATGCATAAAGCAGAAATATTAAATGTAAAAATTATCCAAGGCTCAGATAATCTTTTTTCTACCTGAGAGATACCAGTTTTCTAAAATTAGCATTTTACCCTAGTAGTAGGTAGATATTAATTTATTCTTTATTTTAAATTGCTATTTGATTTCAAAGTTAATATTTTGTGTTCTTTTTTTGCATGGCTTGACAAGTGGTGCGTTGGTGCGCGCCCAGGATCCGAACCGGCAAACCCCGGGCTGCCACAGCGGAGTGCACGCACTTAACCGCTTGTGCCACTGGGCCGGTCCCCGATATTTTGTGTTCTTAATAAAAATTTACATGATGTTTATTATCATTTTACCCTTCAGAAAGAGTCTTCTAGGGGCCAGCCTGGTGGTGTAGTGGTTAAGTTTGTGTACTCTGCTTCAGCAGCCCAGGGTTCACAGGTTCGGATCCCGGGCACAGACCTACGCATCGCTCATCAAGCCGTGCTGTGACAGCATCCCACATACAAAATAGAGGAAGATTGACACAGATGTGAGCTCAGGGCAAATCTTCCCACCAAAAAAAAAAAAAAAAGAGTCTTCTAAACTAAAAAAAATTTTTTTAAACCTTCTCCCTTTTCTTTCATGTCAACGATGCCATCTCTTTTGGGAACTCAGAAGCCAGCCGAAGGTGAGAGATTTGGTTTATTATGTGATGCTTGTAAAGATCTTATGTGTGTATTTTTGAAGTACTGGTAATTTTCTTCTCAAAAATATTTTGTCTCTGTCACTTTTGTACAAATAATGCAAGTTGCCAACCTATTCGTAAATCTGAAGCCATTTATTGCCATAGGAAAGGCTGTATTTGTATTTTGACCAATTCTGGCCAGTCTCCTGGCAGCTACAACACAGATTCCTTTTGTGCTCTGCTTTCACCATCAGTTGGCTCGAAACTGGTCGTTCCAAACTGTGGTCAAAACCATGCTAGGCAGGCTCATCCATGTCGCTCCCAAGACAGGTGGGGACGCATTCTCAGGCCAACAGAAGCCTGCCCTGGCCCACAGGGGAATGTGCTTTCATCTTAGATTTGAGCCCCAATTCTAAAGAAACTTCGGTGGGGCGCATCAGTTCCTGTGTCTCTGAAGGAATTTATAGGTGTGCCAAAGTGGCACAAGGACTATATTTTTGAATGGACCATTTTCTGAAGTTAATTGAACTTTTCAGGAAATTCAGATTTTTATCTACATTCTTGGAGTTTTGCTTTTGTTTTAGAGTCTGTGGTTGAATAGTAATTCCATTCTCTGTTGTTTCTAAAATATGTATAGACATGGCTGAGATTCTGAAGAATTTTTTTAGTAGTTTAATATGACACTGATTCTTTATATACGTGAAACTAATTTTATTAGTTTTATCTCATCTTTTCTATGAAAAGGTGCTGGATTTTTTTTTTTTCTTATTTTTTGATAGAGCAAAGGCTGGAGATTGCAGTAAAGATGTGAGGAAACATTACATGACTATTTAAAAACTATTCATGTTTTAATTCAGGGGTATCTTAATGTTTAGAGAAAATGTATTGACATAAAAAAATATGGAAGGACCAACACCACATTATTAACATAGTGGTTACCTCTAGGGAGACGTCTGCCTGGTGAATGGGAGACCTTTATTTTTTACTTTATGCTTCTGTGTTATTTGACTTTGTTACAATGAATGTGTGTTTCTTCTCTGTTACTTGAAAAAGGTGTGTTTTTTTTAAGTTTTAAAGGAAAAATGTTTATTTGGAAAGAAAAGGGCTTGTTTGCTTTAGGAAATCCATGGCTGGAAGATTCCTGTAATAATTTACAAAATTGCTTAAACTTAAAGAGGACCATTTAGTGTGGTTAGTAAATAAGAACTAAGTGTTCGTTAGTTCCCAACTTTGTACCAGACTGTGGTGCTTTCATATAATTGGGGAATGGAGCTAATCTAGCCTAGTGGTGGAGAGCCTCGTGGTGAGCAGACTACTGGCTCAGAGGCTGGGTTCAGATCCCAGCTCCCCTACCTGCTAGCCACCAGATTCTTCACTTCGTTGTGCTTGTATCTCAGTGTCCTGTGAGCAGGGCCTAGCACCTAGTATCAGCTATTGTTATGGTTACTTTATTGATAGCTCTTCTCTACTAGAATTGAGAATAAGAAGTGGAGTTGTTAAAGAAATCCCTAAATTAAAAAAAGAAAGACAAAAAGGAAGATCATAATGGAGAGAGAAGTGCTATTTAGAGCCTGACCTCTGATCAGTGCACATGTACAGTGATGGGACTGTTGAAGTAAGAGCTAAGCTTACAAGAAAAGAATCAGGGGGCCAGCCCAGTGGTGCAAGCGGTTAAGTGCACGCGCTCTGCTGTGGTGGCCCGGGGTTCGCCAGTTTGGATCCCTGGTGGGGTTTGCCAGTTCGGATCCCTGGTGCACACCGACGCACTGCTTGTGGAGCCATGCTGTGGTGGCGTCCCATATAAAGTGGAGGAAGATGGACACGGCACAGATGTTAGCTCAGGGCCAATCTTCCTCACCAAAAAAAAAAAAAGAAAATAATCAGGATGGTTTCTACTTAATCTTGTTAAGAACGAGTTAAATAAAATTATGAGAGATGAGAGTTGAAAGCTAGAACAGAATAAACTTAATTTGAGCTTCACATTTTATTTAATCTCACCCTGCTGAAATAATTCTCATCACGGCTGACAAATGTAGTTTGAAAAGCAGCGCCTACCCGAAATTTTGATACACAGTCCTTTCAGAACCACCTTCCATCTTCCTTCTTCTTTTCCTCCTTTCGCTGTTGGAGAATTGCTACCTAGTGAGCCACACAATTGATAAATACATGTTTAGCTTTGGAAAAATTTTGAGGATTAGTAATTTACGACATAGGTCTGTGGCTGGGTGGATAGCTTCTGGGCTCCAGGGTTTCCTCCTCTTCTTGGGTGTTGTCAGCCATTGGGCTTCTGCTTGCCTTGTTGGCCCAGCTTCCCCATCACTGCCCTATCCCAGGGAACAAATGCCTCCCCTGCCTGCTGTTTTGCACAAAGATATGGGTGTTCTGATCCTTCCCTGCTTTAAAGGTATTTTTAACCAGTCATCCTGTGGGGTGCCCCAGGGTCCTCTTGTGCTCATTTAGTAGTTTTCCTGGTACACTCCCAGAACTGCTCTTCTCTTTGTAGCCATCTTCTTCTGCAGTGTTTTGGCCTGTGTTCTCCCTGTGGCCACCCCCCCCATCCTCCTGCTCCCCATCAATCTCATTGCAGCTGTTTTTCAGGGATTCTCAATTTCTGATCCAGGTACAAGCAAGCAATCTTGCTTTCAAAAACTTGCTCTTCTTTCCTCTCTTCTTTCCTCTTTTGGTCCTTTCCCTCCTTCTCTCCATCATTTTGAGTTAATTTCAGGTAGGAGGGGAATATAGGCACACATACTTAATTTACCATCCTAATCTAATTTCCTTTCTTAAAAAAATTAACTTTTAGGGCAAGCCCTGGTGGCCTAGTGGTTAAGTTTGGCACGCTCCACTTTGGCTGCCCAGGTATGGTTCCTGAGCGTGGACCTACACCACTCATCTGTCAGTGGCCGTGCTGTGGCGGTGGCTCACATACAAAATAGAGGAATATTGGCAACAGATGTTAGCTCAGGGCGAATCTTCCTCAGTGGAAAAGAAAATTAACTTTTAGATCTCTGGTCTAGGTAGTCTTGTGAATTTACACAGCAACATTCTCTTGCCAACTCCAAACTCACAGCAGGGAGGGGTAAAATATTTTAAAATATTAAAATCATGTCATCATATTAAAAAACAACATATGTAACTTCAGGGACTAGCAGCAAGCTGGAGCTGAAGCAGCATATTTACTGGGCTTGGGATCAGACACAGATTCTCAGAGGTGATTGGGACTTCAACACTTGCAGATTAAAGGAGGCCTTGATGTACGGTTGAGGACTAGAGAAGCTCACCTGTGAAAATTGATTTGGGTGAGGCTCCAACATGAATGAAGGCTTAAAAAAAAGTTTTTGGCCACTAGTGTTGAGCTAATGTCTTGGTAAAGAGGAGGGAGTAGAGACATTGGGTTTTGAGAAGACCAAAATCTGGGCTTCAGTAGCTGGGAGTGGCGATGTAACCAGTCATGTAAAGGTGGCCAAAGGGAAAGGAAAAAAACAGGCAGTTATGTATACCATAAAATACAAACTCCCAATTCAGATGCACTTGCAAACTAACGTGCAGTAGGCCCTCTGTATCCGCGGGTTTTGCATTCTTGGAGAGGGAGGGCCGACTGAAGGGACTTGAGCATTTGCGGATTTGGGTATCTGCCCTGGAACCAATCCCCCACAGATACCAAGGGACAGCTGTATAAAGGCACAAGAGGAAATCTGTCATCAGGAAGTGAGGCAACAAACTCTAAAAGTGGGAGAGTTTGAAATGCAAGCTGAAATGAATTAAAAAACAATTTCATTTAAAATTCTTAAAGAGACTAAATTATAAAACATGAAATCCAAAACATGAAAAAAACGTTTAAAAGAGCACAAAAACGTGCTAAGTATGAAAGTAGTAAACATAAAAGATCAAAACTGTCCAATAAGACTGGACCATAAATAATTTAATTTCCATCGTGGGAGAGTAATTTGTCTTTACTTCACTAATGAACAATGTTATCGATGTTGTGACATCTTTATAACATCGTAAGTGTGTTAAGGTTTTGTTCCTAATACATGCTATTATTATTTTTATTTTTCATCAGGTGTTTGCATATGATCATTGTTTCTGGTCTATGGATGAATCTGTCAAAGAAAAGTATGCAGGTAAGAGTACAGCATCCTATTAACTACTGATAATACAGAAAAGGTGTTTTAATATTTTTTCCATAAAGTATCAGAGTATTATTTTGTGTAACTTTAAAAACTGTGTAGAGGGGCTGGCCCCGTGGTGTAGTGGTTAAGTGCACATGCTCCGCTGCTGGGGCTCGCACTGATGCACCACTTGTCAGGCCATGCTGTGGTGGCGTCCCACATAAAGTAGAGGAAGATGGGCACGGATGTTAGCTCAGGGCCAGTCTTCCTCAGCAAAAAGAGGAGGATTAGCATGGATGTTAGCTCAGGGCTGATCTTCCTCACCAAAAAAAGATTAAAAAAATAAAAATAAAAAAAATAAAAGCTGTATAGAGAACTTACTCCGGCTTTGCTATTAGAGTTTTTATGTTATTGGGAAATGGGAGAGTCACAGTGTGTTTTTCTTGGTATACGATGGTAAAGTTAGGTTAATAGGGTATGTGGTTGAGGTTATCTTACACGCATCGCCAGGCCTTGCATGGGACCAGTAGCACACAGTAGCCTCTTAGATTCCCTTCGATGTCTGTGCTGTGGTCTAGAGAGGCAGCTCTGTGTAAGGAAAGAAGAGCCAGGAGAAAAGGAAACCTGAAGTTTACTCCAGGCTCTACTCCTGACTGCCTCTGTGACTTTGAGTAGATCACTTAAGCTCTCAGTATTTTGTTTTCTCTCTTTTTTTTTTGTGAGGAAGATTAGCCCTGAGCTAACATCTGTTGCCAATCCTCCTCTTTTTGCTGAGGAAGATTGGCCCAGCATGGCTTGATAAGCATGCGTATGTCCATACCTGGGATCCGAACCTGCAAACTGCGGACCGCCGAAGCAGAGTGCATGAACTTAACCAGTATGCCACCAGGCCGGCCCCTGTTTTCACGCTTTAGTGGAGAGGACTATACCATGCTCTAAATTTGCTCCTCAATGATGAGTGTCTGAAGCCCCTTTTCACAGGTTTAAGACTACAGTGACAGCCTTTTATTTCCTTTATTCATAACTGCTTATGACACCTGTTTCTAAGCAATCTCTTTTAAATATTGAGTGTCATACTGTATTGGCTTTTGTCATGAGAAACAGTAGTACTATAGCTGTTTCAAAAAGTGAAGGTTAATGTGGTCTAGCTGGCCCAATGATGACTTTAAGGATTGCTTCCATGTCGGAAATGTGATGATGATGTACTAATCTGGCAAATTAATTAGGAAGTGAGGCATAATGGAATGCTATTTATAGCATTCAAGGCATAACAAACATAACAGCATCCAGTTCTTTCATATTATATTTAAAGTGTGTCCAGATCACAATTCCAGTTTGTTGAGGGGGAGGGATTTCCCCCCTCCCCTCACCAAGCAATGCTGTGGACACCAGCTGGATGTCCTGCAATTCAATTCAATTTTGACACTAACTATTCGGAGATAGCCTCAGATCCATCAGATTCCACAGGTTAAGGGTTCTGTCCTACAAAACTGCCTCCTCCACTTGCCACTTCAGACGCCATTCGCAAGCCCAGGTTGTTACCTGTGCTTCTGACCAAGTGGCTATAAATCAGAAGTTCTCAGAATCTCCTTCTTGGGTTTGATTAATTTGCAAGAGCGGCTCACAGAACTGAGAGAAACATTTTACTTACTAGATCACCGGTTTATTATAAAAGGGTATAACTCAGGAACAGCCAGATGGAAGAGATGCACAGGACAAGGTGTGGGGAAAGGGGTGCAGAGCTTGCATGCCACGCTCCTGGCACCTCCATGTGTTCACCATTCCAGAAGCTCTCTGGACCCTGTACTTTTTGTTTTTTTATGGAGGCCTTATTACATAGGCATGATTGATTAAATCATTGGCCTTTGGAGACTGAGTCAACCTCCAGGCCCTCTCCCCTCCCTGGAGGTTAGGGGGTGGGATTGCAAGTTCCAACACTCTCATCACTATTGGTTCTCCTGGCAACCAGCCCCCATCCTTACGTGCTTTCCAAAAGTCACCTCATTAACATAACCAAAGACACCTTTATCACTCTCAACACTTAGGAGATTCCAAGAGGTTTTGGAGACTTGAGCCAAGAACTGTGGATGAAGGCCAAATATATATGAGAAATATATTTGGTTATCTGAACGACCGAGATATATTTCTTATAACTCACAAAGCGCAATATGCAAGACTCAAAGAGGTTGAATGATTTGTAAAGGTTATATTTGATTATGGGCGTGTTTAATTTAGCCTATGGAGGAACATTTGACCTTATTATTTATGTCCATGATTGAAAGCTAGAAGAAAGATTTCCAAGGTCGTCCTCTCTTGTGCAGCTGGGGTGTATTGTAGACCCTGTAATTAAAAATTATCATTGAGAAAAAAAAGAGTCCCTGGAGAATTGCTGCTAATCACCATAGACCACTGGTTCTAAACACTTGGCGGCAGAAACAAAACAAACCACCCATGAATTTAACCACAACTGTATTTTTTATGAAGAGACTTGAAATTTTGTTCTAGAGCAGTATTTTCTGCCTTACCAGTTTGTTTAAAAAATAAAAAATAAATGTTTCCAAATGAAAAAAAATATATCATTGAGGAAAAGGAGAGGAGATTGATATATATGATTGTTTTGAACTCTAGAACCCAGTGAATAAAGCATTAGCCGAGTGGCATATAGTTAAGCCTTTGGAAGCATCAAGTTTAAAAATCTTGTTTGGAGATAAGCTAAAAAGAAAAGTGCGTTTTTGAGAGTTTTGTTTGTTTGTTGATTTTTTAATTGTTCATATGTAGTTTTGGCTTAAAACATCCTTTCTTTTTCTCTTTCTCTCTCTCTTTTAGGTCAAGATGATGTTTTCGAATGCCTTGGGGAGAATATTCTTCAGAATGCTTTCGATGGATACAACGCATGTATCTTTGCTTATGGACAGACTGGTAATGTTAAATAATATGTATTTTTTTAGGCTTTAAGGATCATAACAGAGAAAATACCAAAAGGAATACATATTGTTAGCATCTTATCAGTTATGATTGATAAGGAGTGTTTTGACTTCTGTACCTCTGTGGTCAACAGGAAAGAAAATCTATTTAAAGTGAAGGAGTCACTTTTTTTTTTTTTTTTTGTGAGGAAGATCAGCCCTGTGCTACCATCTGCCAATCCTCCTCTTTTTTTGCTGAGGAAGACTGGCCCTGGGCTAACATCCATGCCCATCTTCCTCCACTTTTTATATGGGATGCCGCCACAGCATGGCTCGACAAGTGGTGTGTCGGTGCGCGCCCGGGATCTGAACCGGCAAACCCCGGGGCACGGCAGTGGAGCGCATGCACTTAACTGTTTGCGCCACCGGACTAGCCCAGGAGTCACTTTTTTAAGGATATATTGTATAGCTTGTCCAATTGAAAGCTATTCTTCATGGAAAAGAGCTTATGATATTTTCAAGAGGCAATGTGTGTAGTGAGTATGGAAGCATGGACTCGGAGCCTGGTCATCCGAGCTCCAGCCCTGCTGCTGCCACTGACCAGCTGTGACATACACCTCAATTTCCTTATCTGTAAAATATTGATACTTATAGACCTTCCTTATAGAGTTGCCATAATGAGTTAACATGTGAAAACTTTTAGAAAAGGCCGGGAACGTAAGAAATGGTATATTAGTTTTAGGTATTATGATAATGATAAAGTGTCAAGTGACAAAAGCAGCAACTTGTATGATTAAAAGAATGTTTACAAAATCGCTGCTGCTAAAAAAGGAAAAAGTATTATACTTAAGTTAGGACTGTGGGTGATTTAATTTTTCTTTTCTATTTTCCTCTGTTTTCTCAATTTTCTTTAATGAATATGTGTTCTTGGTGCAGTGGAGAAAATAATTTTATAGTAGAAAAAGAAAATTACTCTGTGGTTTCTACACTATTGCTAAAGCGTAGTAAGATAATTTGCTCTGGGGCCTATAGGGGTAGCGTATATTTTTTGTGTTATGATTAGTGGTTGGGAGCAGGTACAATAGTATTCATCATATGGATATTCCCAGTTAATTTTAGAAGACTATTCAGACTCACTATTTTTAAGTTGTTTTAGATAATTTTTTTTTGTGTGAAGATGGTTAAAGAAGATTTTTGTTTTCTTTCTAAAGGAGGTTTACTTTTGACTTTTACATGTGCAGTAGTAAAGCTTCTGTATTTATTAGTGTCATCATTATCTTTGGATATATTTTTTATTTTAGTTTGGGCATTTTGCTAAGTGCTAATAATTTATTTTAAGCAATGGAAAGAGTGTTATGTATTTAAACTTCTCAAAGAGACAATAATAACTGTGATTTCATTTTTTAGGATCTGGAAAATCTTATACCATGATGGGTACAACTGACCAACCTGGATTAATCCCAAGACTTTGCAGTGGACTCTTTGAACGAACTCAGAAAGAGGAAAATGAAGAGCAGAGTTTTAAAGTAGAAGTGTCCTATATGGAAATTTATAATGAAAAAGTTAGAGACCTTCTTGATCCCAAAGGGTAAATGACTTTTAGATTTTAGTGTTTTAGTGTTATGGACTTAGACTTAATAAATTGACTTAAGTGACATTTTTTATATCGAACTCTAGTAGAGAGTTATTTATCTAGTTATTATCTCTGTGATGTTATCTCTTTGTCTAGTTATGTGGTTATTGTCTTTGTGATTTGTTTTTAGTCACATTGAGTGGCTTTCTGCAGCCAGTCCTGGGCTTCTGAACTTAGGGCTGAGATGGGGGAAACGTGGTGGAGCAGCACGTATCTGGGTCTTACTGCCTGTCTCAGATACATCCAAAGCCACAAACAAAAAATATGTCATGAAAATTAAGTTACTTAGTGTCAGGATAACTGGTATCCTTAATCAATCAGCTTATTTATTTATTTAAAATCAAGAAATTTCAGGTGGAATTTAGCTATTTGTTTGCAGCCTGTGAAGTGAGAGGCATAATCAGAGATATGAAACCTGGACTTTAGAATAGTTAATTTTAAAGATTCCCAGAGGAAAAAACATCCCATTTCATGGCATAGACTTTGAAAGAGAAGTGGCTCAGAAGTATTAGAAAGCCTTAAAAACTACTGTTCTCACTTTGTAATCATAGCTGAACCTAATGAGGAAGATAAGGTATCTGAGGAAATCTGTTCGTTGCACAGAGTTCTCTGAGTTCAGATTTTAAGGAAGTGCAGCAATGGAGAGAGAGAAACAGATAATAACCACAGCCTGTGGCTTATTGAGTAAAAACAGTGTTCAGAAGGTCAAAGAGCCAAATGAGCTGAGGTTTATGGAAAGCTCGGAAGACAATGAGGGGACATTGTATTATATTTGGATGAAGAAGATGATCAAGGAAAGATGGTCTTAGAGGCAGTGAATCATAGTGATACTCAATTAAAATGAATATCTTTGCCCAGAGGAAATGGGAAGATTCCACAGAGGGTGCTTGATGAATTGTGTGCTGTGTAGGAGTCTGTCCACTGAGAAGTTAGGTGAGAACCGTTCAGGCACAGAGGACAGCCTGTGCCAAAGCATGGAGGTATAAAGAAATCACTTGTTTAGAGAGTGACCCAGCTGTACAGCATGACTGGAAGGCGGTATTGTGTGGCGGTCAAAACAGAGAACAAAAGGAGGCCAGAGGTGGGAAGATTAGGGCCTACGTACCCACATTTTGCTGAATATCATGCCCTTGTCCTTTTTCTGGCTTTACCTTGAATACTTTTTCTTGCACCTTCACCTCTGTGAAGACCATCATTTTCTTAGAGATCCAGCTCAGATGTACTCTTTCCAGAAATTCTTAGCTAACTTCATTCTTGTGTTTGCATTCCACAGTGCTTGTGTGAAATAGCTTAAACTATATCTTCAATTTGTTTATAATCTTTGGTAATTTCTTATATGTTTGTCCATGTATGGTTTAGTAATTAACAGCATGGGCTTTGGCTTCACCTAGCTCTGGATCCAGGTCCTTTAATTGTTACCATTTGAGCAAGTTCCTTATGCTTTCAACGCTTTATTTGTACAGAAGGGGGAATGATAATATTATTAATATCTCAGAGGGTTGTTGTGAAGATAGACTGAGATGACACACCTGAGGTACTAGAACATTGGTGCATAGTAAGTGCTTAATAAGTGTTAGCTGTTGTTATTGTTGTCCTCCCATGAAGGTTAAGGTTTCTTGAGGATTTTTGTAGTGTTTCTGAAGAGTTGAAGTAAATAGATTAAAAACTCTAAAACTGATCCCTTTTCAGTGAAAGACTGAGAGAACTTAGTTTTGTTATTCAAATACTAATTTTATTAATTCAGCATCTACTATGTGTAGTAATGTAATTATGTTGCTTCCTTAGGAGATAATACAGTTTACATTATCTTTAAGAAAAGGGAAAAATGAAAGGGAAAAGTTATAATAGCATGTATCCTGAGGTTAGAATTAAGTCAAATATTTGTTCTATGTCTACGTTATATAGAGTTTTATTGTGGTAAGTAAGTTTTTAGTGGTTGATCCTAGGGCACTAAAAGATTCCAAATCAGTAGAAAATATTGTTACATAAAATAAGAGTCACTTTAATCTCACCATCAACAAATATTCTTTTTTTTTTATGTGAGGAAGATCGGCCCTGAGCTAACATCTGCCAATCCTCCTCTTTTTTTGCTGAGGAAGACTGGCCCTGGGCTAACATCCTTGCCCACCTTCCTCTACTTTGTATGGGATGCCGCCACAGCATGGCTTGACAAGCAGTGCGTCGGTGCGCGCCCGGGATCCGACTGGCGAACCCTAGGCCGCCGCAGCGGAGCGCGCACACTTAACTGCTTGCGCCACTGGGCCGGCCCTCAAATATTCTTTTTTTTTATTGTAATGTTTTTATTTTTTATGTTTTTGGTGAGGAAGATCAACCCTGAGCTAACATCTGCTGCCAATCCTCCCCTTTTTGCTTGAGGAAGATTGTGCCTGAGCTGACATCTGTGCAGGTCTTCCTCCACTTTGTATGTGGGCCTCCACAGCATGGCTTGATGAGTGGTGTGTAGGTCCATGCCCAGGATCTGGGCCTGCGAACCCCAGGCACTCGAACTTAACCACTACGCCACCGGACTGGCCCCTGTTTTTTTTTTTTTTTTTTAGGAAAGGGCGAGTTTGCCTTTATTTATTTATTTATTTATTTATTTATTTTTACGTGAGGAAGATCAGCCCTGGGCTAACATCCATGCCAATCCTCCTGTTTTTGCTGAGGAAGACCGGCCCTAGGCTAACATCTGTGCCCAACTTCCTCCACTGTGGGATGTCGCCACAGCCGGCCTGACAAGCGGTGCATCGGTGCGCACCCAGGATCCAAACCTGCGAACCCTGGGCTGCCAGCAGTGGAGCACGCGCACTTAACAGCTACGCCACGGGGCCGGCCTGTTTTTATTTTTTAAAGAGCGTTTTTGAGATATAATTCACATGTCATACAATCGTCAACAAATATTCTTAATATTTTTTGGTTGATATCATTGACTATGCTAAATGCTCTAGGTTTTTGGCAGATGCCCTTTACTGGGTTTATCAGTTCCTTGTTTGCTAAGTGGTTTATTTTTTATTCATGAATGAGTATTTAATTTTATTGAATACTTTTTTCTACACTTATTGATGTGATCATGTCTGTTCTTTTTCCCTTTAGTCTATCAATGTGGTAAAGGTCATGAATCTTTTTCCAGTGTTAAAACAACCTGGCAGTCCTGGACTAAGCCCAATTTTAAGTTTTTAAATCATTATTAGACACAGTTTGTTGTCTTTTGTCTGTCTGTCTTTATTCATGATTCAGGTTGGTCTGTAATTTTCCTTTCTTGCACAGTTAACATTTGCTGAATTTCTGCTCTTTGTACCACATTCTGTGATATGACAAGTAGATTGTTTGTATTTATTTGAGTCTGCATTCTTTGTGGTAGTAAATAGACATCCCACAGTGTACCCTTTTGAGTGAGTGATATTTTACCACATTATGAAGTTTTTCTTACCAGTCAAGATTTTAAATTTTAGTTTAAATTCTTCTGAGATAAAGTCAGTTGGTTTTATTTATATGGGATCTTTGTTGAATTCAGTATATACTTTATGGAGCACAGTTGAGTCCTTTAAAAAACAGATTATTGTTTAAAAATCGTTTCTTTGTTTTTAATAAACAGAAGCCGTCAAACATTAAAAGTCAGAGAGCACAATGTGTTGGGACCCTATGTCGATGGACTTTCTAAACTGGCCGTCACAAGCTATAAGGTAACGACTTCCTTTATGTAAACTAAATTCAGTGTAGCAAGTTTTTTTTGGTTTAATTTGTGATGATTATTTTTTTGAAATTAAATTTATAGTAGTATCACTTAATAAATCACTTTTTACAAAAATTTTTTACTTAAAGAGCTGTATATGACTATTAGGACAGTTTTATTTTGAGAGAAGGTATACGTATTTGCAGGGCATTCCTATTCATCTATTGTGAGACACATTTTTTTCATATTTTGTGAGCTCTAAAATTGTGATGTGCCTCACAATTACATCTAAAAATGATAAATGGCAGCTTTTTTTTCTTCCTTAGTAGTACATGAAGTAATGAAGTTGCTTGTGATTTAGTTGATTTAATGAAATAAAATATGTAAGTTGAGTAGTTGGAATTCAAAGCCTGTTTCTGATTTGAGAGACTCACTCACTGGCCTTTAGTTAGTTCTCTTCATTTTCAGACTTCACAGTTCTACTTTGTGTGAATCCATCCGGCTTTGCAAGTTAGGGAAATGGGGGTGGGGTGAGATGCTATGATGTAACATACATTGAGTTAAGAGTCAGAGAGTGTTGATTTGGTGAAACTTAATCCTTTTGTACAACTCATATATGACTCTGGATCATTCACCCTACCTCACCAAGCCTCTTGGTCCTAATTTTTAAAATGAAAATATTTTATTGTCTTGACCATCTTATGAGGTAGGTTCATTTGTTCCTTTGTTCATTAATCAATTTTGTCATTTAGTCAATGATACTTCATTTAGTAAACATTACTTACTTCATTTGATAAACATCTGTTGAACACCTACAATGTGCCAGGCATTGTGCTAGGTACTGAGAATATAAAAAATGAATGAGATGGTCCATTCCCTCAAGATGCTTACAGATGTTATAAAGGTATTATAAAACATGGTTTTAAATTCAGTGACAGATGCATGTTCAAGATTCATTGTAGTTTGGAGAAGGGGTACCTAACTTAAATGGATAGGTAGGTGTCTAGGGAGGATGATGTCCAGAAGGCTTCCTGGAGGAGATCATATGGGATAATGCATGTGAAAGTCTTTGAAAACTCTAGAGTACTTATATAAATGTTAGGTATTGTTGTTACAGTCATGCAATGCATAATGGCATTTTGGTCAATGATGAACCACATATACAAGGGTGGGTCCATAGGATTAGTACCAAATAGCCTGTGAGTGTAGTAGGTTATACAATCTAGGTTTGTGTAAATACACTCTGATATTCGCACAACTACGAAATCGCCTAACATATCTCTCAGAACTTATCCCCATAGTTAAGCAACGCATGACTGTATTTTAATAATGATCATTTGAGAACTTATTTATGCAGCATCAGAGAGAGATCAGGATTTTTTTTGAGATCTCAGAGGAGATTGGAAAGTATAAAAAGACATTTTGCTTGTTTAAAAAATTAAAAGGCTCAGTACAGAGTTTATGCATGAGACAACAGATTAGAGACCAGTGAATAAATATAGGCTAAATAGGGTAAAGCTTTTACATTAAGCCTCAGGATTGTCAGATTTAATGGATCTAAAATGGATTTAGAATGGATCTAGAAAATTGTGGTGGTTACCTTTTGTTGTGGTTTTTTCATTCTGGTGCCTACTTATACCTCTTTTCACAGTTAATGTTTTTATTTTGAGGCTTTTTATTTATCATGTTGAATTTTTCCTTAAACATTATTCTTTTTCATTTATACAGCAAAATAGAATCTTATGATTTTCAAAGTTTTTATATATGTGTGTCAGCGTTGTGTTTGGTTGCATATGACAGAAAAAATGTAACAAGATTTAAGTTCTTTGGAAAATGAATTATTACCTGTTTTGATCATTATGTATCCTCAGTATCTTAAACTTTACCTGGCACATAGTAGGTGCTTTCAATATATATTTGAGTGAACAAACGAATGAAAGAAGGAATGGTGAGAGAGCTAGTATGGTGGCTCCAAAGATGCTGTTAGGGACCTAGAGTCCGCCAGCTCTGTGGTAATGCCCTTATTCTCATAGGTCAGGGTGGCTCTTAGAACCACAGTGTAATAGCATGCCTACTCCCTTTAAGGAAAATTCCCAGTGACCTGTATTATACTTAACCTCTCATTTGCTAAAACTTAGTCATATGGCCAGACTGAGCTGCAAGGGCATCTGGGAAATGTAGTCTCTCAGCTATGCTGCAATGTGCTCAGCTAAAGATTGGGTTCCTTTACTGGAAAGAAGAGACTGCATAAAAGGAGGCAACTAGCAGACTCTTTGACACATATCATCTTTCTTGTTCCTCATTAAAATCCTTGTAAGGTAGATGATGTTATAGATCCATATGGTTATTTATGAAACTAAAATTCAGATTGGTTAAGTAACTGTTTTAGAGCTTATAACATTTTTAAAGATGAAGATCCCATGATCTTTCTATTGCCTCATGCTGTCCCTGTTTTAGCAGCAATGGCAACAAAGCAGTAAATCTGTGCAGAAAAAGTAGTCTCTTGATGTTCTCATTTTTAAAAAGAGGTCTGGTAAGATACACCAAGGTAGTGATATAGTGCTATGCCTGCTTGAAGGGGTTACAAATTATTTTTGTTTGTTGATTATTTGTATACAGTCATGCGCTGCTTAATGACAGGGTTACATTCTGAGAAATGTGTCGTTAGGTGATTTTGTTGCTGTGCAAATATCATAGAGTGTACTTAGACACCTAGGTGGTATAGCCTACTATACACCTAGGCCATATGGTACTAGGTGTACCACTATGGGACCGCTGTCGTATATGTGATTTGTCGTTGACCGAAATGTCATTATGTGGCACATGACTGTAATCTAATTTGATTTAACAATTAACTTCTATTGCTTCTGTAATTAAAGAAACTAAACCTTAAAAATTTCTAGATTAGATGAGGATTGGCATGGTGTATTTGTGGGCCTTAACATGTAGCTTCTAAACTTGTAATTCTTAAAGTTGCCACTTCAGTCTGCATGTACAGAAAATAATGTAATTTATTTGAGTTTTCATAAACAGTATTAGCTGTTATACTCTGTGTATTCTTCATGTTCATTGAAAAACAATGTAAACTCCAAATGTGGTTGACTAAGTAGTGAAACTTCTAATGCATTTTATAGTATAGCAGAATTTTAATACTTGTTAGACAGATAATGACATGTGCATCTATGACTTGTTTCAACTTAGGATATTGAGTCTTTGATGTCTGAAGGTAACAAATCTCGTACAGTTGCTGCAACCAACATGAATGAGGAGAGTAGCCGATCCCATGCGGTCTTCAAAATCACCCTCACACATACTTTGTATGACGTGAAGTCTGGGGTAGGTGTTCAGTTGCACGACTGTTTTTTTTTTCTTCCCTTAAGTGGATCATGGTTTATCTTATTCCCTTCAGGTATAAGATGACTTAAAGTCCTAGCTAGACATGTATCAATTAGGACTCAGGATAAGAAACAGAAGCCACTCTAGGTAAACAGAAAGAGATTTATTGGAGAGATTTGGATGATTATAGAGTTGTTGGAACACCTGAGGAGGAGTGGGTTCTAGATTGAATCTCTAGGAATAACTCCCAGAACAACACAGATCTTATCCACCAGGGATGCTACTACCTCTGAGGCTGCCACTGTGCTGTGAGCTGTGAGTTCCAGGCACACCCCATAGCATTGCTGTGATCCAGGAGACAGGAGTCAGCCCTAGCTTCTGGAAAGAAGAGACTGGATAAAAGGAGGCAACTAGTAGACTCTTTCATGCGTGTCATCTTTCTTGTTACACTCTCCAGCTTCAGCAGCACCCCGGAAGCTGGAGAGTGTGTGCTGGGATGCTCTTGTAGAAAACCTCATATTTCCACCATCCTGCTTCCCAGCAGAAAAAAACAAAAAAGGGGCAGGGGAATGGCCTCTGCTTTACTTTTGCTTCCAAATCTTAAGCAAGTGTATCTGACTGACAGACCTAAGTCACATCCTGAACCCTGGCTGCAAGAGAGTCTGAGAAATGTAGGTTTTAGCTCTCTACCCTCTCTACCTAAAGGCAGGTGGAACAGAAGTTATTCAAGCTGATGGTCTAGAGTCTCTGCCACAGCACTTTTTGACAAAGCTTTAAATTATGATGGCTAACAGTGGAAGCTAATGTTAATACTCCAGCTGATGTAGTGGAGATACTTTTGAAATACTACCTTCTGCTAAACAGCTAAGTATTAGAAGGAATAAATTGCACTGGGGGAATTGTACTATAAGATGGCTAGATTTGTAGAGTAATTTTTTGAGTATTTGGTTTTGAAGCTTATGAAGAGTAAACAGAGCCAGAGATATATATGCTTCTATACCCTGAAAACTTCCCTGTGACTCACATTTTAGTGTGAATTTTTGCATATTTTATGATGATGCCCACCTGTCAGCAAGTCAGTTTCAAATACCAGAAGCTAAAATAATCACCCTGGCAAAGTGCTAAATTTTGGCAAGATTTTATCATATTTTTCTTCTTTTACCATCACATCAAGATTAGTCTAACAAGAAAAAGTTCTTTGTTTCCTATTTCCTTTTCAGCGTAAAACAAAAAGCATACTGAATTCTTTTTTTCTAACCAAAAGTACTTTTGATTTGAGAACCTGAATATTCTTTTGTTAGCAACATATTTATTTATGGAAATAAATATAAATGTGTATTTTAAAGAAAAGTTTTAAAAAATGATCCAGTCTATAGATTTTGGCATTGGTTTCCCACATTTCTTATATTGCTGCTGAGTTATATTTTATATATATGAATTGATAATAGAACATTTTTGATAAAGGAAAATATCACTATGTATATATATATAATATCAACTAGGAAAATGTGTAAATTTAATACCTGGAATTATGAAATAAGGGAATGATTATTTAACAATAATATGAAAAATTTTAGAGCGAGTGGAATTTTTGAGGGATCTTCCTATTGTATAAAAGTCAGATTAATGTTTTTTTTTTACATCAGTAATAATTGCAAATATTTTCCCTTAGAATGATTGGTAAATATTCATGAAATTTTAAGCATAGTTTCAAATTATATAAAAATTTATATTTTATAAGTGCTTTTGTATACTTCTCTATGAAAATTTTATTGAGTTCCCTTCAGAATGTTCCATTTTGGGAGGCACTGTTTTTCTGAGATAAATTTCACTCTATCTGAATTAGTAGAGTTGTGTATAATTTTGTGTGTATCTACTGCTAGATTGTACGGTTTTCTTAATACTGTTTTATAGCAGTGCAAACTAATTTTGAAGTAACAGTAAATAACTCTTTAATAAAGGATTTTGATAAAGAACTTATTCGGTAGAGACAGTATTACTTTCTTTATTCTTTAACTGTTGAGTAGTATTTGTCAATTTACTTTCCAGACGTCTGGAGAGAAAGTGGGCAAACTGAGCTTGGTTGATTTAGCTGGCAGTGAGCGAGCAACGAAGACTGGCGCTGCAGGTGACAGGCTGAAGGAGGGCAGCAATATCAACAAGTAAGGCTTTCAGACGCTTACTTTTATTGCTCTATTGATTTAACAGCCAGATAGGGGAACTCCTGTGGTTATTAAAAGAATAAGATTCTGGACTGATTAAGGTTATAATGAATAAATAGTTTAGAATCTTTTTCAGATATGTATTTTTTTACGTGCCCGAACCTGTTTTATGTTTTGTTGTGATGTCTGATGGGGCTGAGGAGCACAGCCTCAGTCAGGTCAGAGGTTTCTCAAGAGCAGTCCTATTGAGATTGGGGCCTAGTAATTCTTTTTCCTGGGAGGTGGTCCTGTGTATTGTAGGATGTTTAGTGGCATCCCTGGCCTCTGCCCACTAGATGGCAGTAGTATCTGCCCCCTCTCTCCCCCACCCCCAGTTGTGACAACCCAAATTATCTCCATACATAGCCAGTAGCTCTGTCGGGGCATAGTCACCCTTCAGTTGAGAACCACTGGTCTAAGCTATAGAAAAATCAAAGATAAGTTGTCTGTCAGAGTCCAGCTGTTGATCTTGACCTGGGTGTCACTGTCTGAACAAACAACAACGTGCTAGCCACATCGGGCTTTGTCTTCTATGACTGCTGTGCTTATCGATTCCAAGAAGCTAGGGCTTTATGAGGTAATGTGTTGTTCACCAGTTCCTTCATATGGCTATCTTTTCTACCTCAAGCTAAATTGTTAGCTCCTGTGGGCTATCTTTGTGGCTCCCGGAAGGACATGTAGTGAGATATCAAGTCATCGGTAACCAACTGGAGATCATAGAACACCCTCATCCAGATGCTATGCTATTATTGAATGGGGATTGATATATATACATATATAAATAAAATTTTTTTTGCCTTGTACTGTGTTTTAATTAAGTGTATTATGATTTTGGCTTCCTTTTCGTAAAGCTATGAGGTGTTTGTGTTGTTATCTTGACGTAAAGGTTTACAGCTCACATGTTTTATTTACAAAAATGAAAAGTAATAATAGAGCTAAGCAATTTTATTGCTTACAGTAGTGTTAGAGAGATATCAGCTTTTAGAGTGTATGTGTTTTTAAACTGAGTAGCAAAATGCTGACAACAGTGCTGTTCTCATGCCAGGTACAAAGGCATCTTGATGTTCAATCTTTGTGCTAAAATGTGACATTTGATATACTCAGTTTTTTATGATTATTATGGTTTGTTGCACCATGCAGGTCCCTCACAACCCTCGGTCTGGTTATCTCAGCCCTAGCAGATCAGAGTGCTGGCAAAAACAAGAATAAATTTGTTCCATATCGTGATTCAGTTCTCACTTGGCTGCTCAAAGTAAGTTTTTTTTTCTTTCCTGGCATACTCTTGGTGGTTGGTGAAAAGTAAGAATAAAGAGTAGAATATTAATCCCTCCCAATTGTCATTTCCTCCATCAGTGTTCAGAATTATAATCATTAGGCTCTTAAATGATAATCATAATTTTAATGGATTAAGCATAGATTTCTTCCTGATTCACCAGAACCTAGAAGCAGTGGGAGTTTCGGGCACACTGAATCGCATAATTGCCTCTGAGATTTGGGGAAATAGAAAAAAGAGCTAGTGCTAATCTGTAGCTGCGTGAGTCATAGAAAAGGAGCTCCTACTGTCTTACAGACTCAGCTGGACTGCTCCAGCTTTCTCACAGGTTCCTTTTGTTTGACTGACATTTGGGCTTTGTTTTTCTGTTTGACTTTAAGATTACTCACGATCATTTTAATTTGCTTTCAGCTTCTTAAAGGTGTTGTGTAAGGATACAGAGTAGAGCACATGGTCATTCATTGGTTAATTGATCCCATGTGAATGAGAGAAATAGAAATTAGAAAGAAAAAAAACTGTATGAAGTGCTATGAGGAACATGTAAAGAAATGCAGGACATTCCTTGTCCTCTAATTGCTCAGAGACTAGTAAGGGAGATAAGATGTGTACTCAAAATATTACAACGTGAGTTAGTGATTCCATGAGGGAGATATCAATGACATGTAATAGGAGTTTGGTGAAAAGAGAGACTGTTTCCAAGTTTCCTCTCGTCCTGGAGGTGCCCTTTTAGTCTTGGTGAATTGGATATTGGTCTAGGGATTAGAGGATATAAAATCTTGTGACAGTTTAACTCATTATAGAGTGGCCAGCCTGGAACAAAATAGTTTACCTATATAAAATAATAGTCTTTTATTTTTTTAAAATGGAGAAATACTTTTATGAGCCCTGTTTAGTCTTGTGATGGCTCATTTTCTCCTTGATCAAGAATGTGTTGAACACTTGTTACTCACTGTGCTAGGGGTTGAGGATGCAAAGATGAGTTAAACACAGGCCCCTAAGTAGCTTACTAGAGGACACAACTTTTGACTCAGTCCATGACATGTTTAGAGAACTGCATTTGTGAAGGGAGTAGGGTTTTCTCATAGTTTCTACACTGTCAAAGGGTTACTAGTATTCAGTTTGACTTTCTAAAACTCTGCACACCATTTCAATGTGATGTATTGAGTGAAATTTGCCACAGTAGAAAATCAGGTAGATTACTTCCTTTGGTCAAAATGCGGCAAAATTAGAAATATTTTTTTTTTTTTTAAGATTTTATTTATTTATTTTTTTCCCCCAAAAGCCCCAGTAGATAGTTGTATGTCATAGCTGCACATCCTTCTAGTTGCTGTATGTGGGACTCGGCCTCAGCATGGCGGGAGAAGCAGTGCCTCAGTGCGCGCCCGGGATCCGAACCCGGGCCGCCAGCAGCGGAGCGCGCGCACTTAACCGCCAAGCCACGGGCCGGCCCAAAAAATTAGAAATTTTTAAAACAAAAGGATAAACAAACACAATTTGATAATTAAAAACCGTTCTAAATAACTCGAGTTAAAGAGATATTACAAAACATTTCACTACCAAGGAAATAATTGTACTGGTCTTCATGTGTCAGTAATTAACCTTGAAATCTCATTTGTTTAATTTCCAGAAGAAATCTCAATAAGATACTTATTTCTTCTTCAAACTTTCCACAGAAATATTTCCTGATCATTCATGATTGTTCCCTGGATATGCCTGGTTTAAAAGAATATTCATTGTCCTGTTGTTTCAATGTTGCTACTTCAGTCCATTTAAACCAACAATAGGAACTATCTTTTGTTAAATAAATTGACGTAGTTAAAATGGCCTAGGTAATTATTGAGTGGCCATTCCATAGGCTGGAGGCCAGGAGAACTTGTTTTAGGAAAATCAGGTACTGGGCTCAGTGCTTCATATACATTATCTCATTTACTTCTTGGGAGGTAAATGGTGGTGTGCCCATTTCATAGGTGAGGTAACGCATGCAGAACTAGTAAATGGCAGAAATAAGATGGGAATGCAGAGGTGGCTTCGCTGCCCATCTTCTTTTGCCCAGGCTGTGCTCTTATCAGAGGTTACTTTTCATTAGAAGGAGACACACCTGACTTTTCCCAGACATTGATATAAACTGTTGAAAATACTTGAGGAACAAAACCACACACTTTTTAAAAAAGCTGACTATATCTTCAGTTTAGTAAAATTACGTTATAATTGTAACTTCTGTGTGTTAATTCTTGGGTTAAAGAAATGAATAGTTTCCTTGGTTTTTGTCATATTTTTTCCTTAAAAATGATATGACCTTGTTGATCGTGTTTGGCTTTTGCAGGAAGATCATAAGTAGGGGCATTTTTGCAAAACATATTTGGGGGTTTAAACTGTTTTCCCCAAGGCCTCTTGGAATCCATTGAGACGCAAATCATCTCTTTTGAGGTGACTTTTATGTTCCTGTTGCTTTTTACTTCTTTAATTCTTAGTCTAATTCTCCCTGATCCTTGTTTGACTTGGTATATGTTTTTAGTATTCTCCAACATAACTTTCATCGAACTCATGAAATTGCTCATCCTCTGTAAGATTTGTAATTTTTTTTAAATTAATTTTTTCTTGAGGTAACATTGGTTTTTATAAATTTCAGGTGTGTATCATTATATTTTGACTTCTCTGTAGACTACAGTCATGTTCACCACCAAAAGTGTAGTTGCCGTCTGTCACTGTGCATATGTGCCCTTTTACCGCTTGCACCCTCCACCCTTCCCCTTTGGTAACCACCAATCTATTCTCTTGTCCATGTGTTTGTTTCTTGTTGTTTTTATCTTCCACATATGAGTGAAATCATATGGTATTTGGCTTACTGCATCTAACTTATTTCGCTTAGCATAATACCCTCAAGATCCATCCATGTTGTCGCAAATGGCAAGATTTCATCTCTTTTTGTAGTTTTCTATTGTATATATAACACATCTTCTTTATCCATTTATCCGTTGATGGGCATTTAGGTTGTTTCCAAGCCTTGTCTACTGTGAATTATTCTGCAGTGAACATAGGGGTGCCTATGTCTTTTTGAATTAGGGTTTTTGTGTTCTTTGGATAAATATCCAGAAGTGGAATAGCTGGATCATATGGTAGTTCTGTTTTTAATATTTTGAGGAATCTGTTTTCCATAGTGGCTATACCAGTTTGCATTCCTACCAGCAGTGTACAAGGGTTCTCTTTTTCCCACATCCTCTCCAACAGTTGTTATTTCTTGTCTTTTTAATAAAAGCCATTCTGATGGGTGTGAGGTAATATCTCATTGTGGTTTTGATTTGCATTTCCCTAATAATTAGTGATGTTGAACATCTTTTCATCTGCCTGTTGGCCATCTGTATATCTTCTTTGGAAAAATGTCTGTTCAGATCCTCTGCCCATTTTTTAATTGGGTTGTTTGTTTTTCTGTTGTTAAGTTGAATGAGTTCTTTATATATTTTGGATATTAACTCCTTATCAGATAGATGATTTGCAGATATTTTCTCCCAATTGGCAGGTTGTCTTTTTGTTCTGTTAGTAGTTTCCTTTGCTACGCAGAAGCTTTTTAGTCTGATGTGGTCCCATTTCTTTATTTTTTCTTTTGTTTCCCTTGCCTGAGGAGACATATTCAAAAAGATACTGCTAAGACTGATGTCAAAGAGCATATTGCCTATGTTTTCTTGTAGGTGTTTTATTGTTTCAGGTTTTACATTCAAGTCTTTAATCCATTTTGAGTTAATTTTTGTGTATGGTGTGAGATAGTGGTCTACTTTCATGTTTTTGGATGTGGTTGTCCAGTTTTCTCAGCACCCTTATTGAAGAGACTTTCTTTTCTCCATTGTATGTTCTTGGTTCCTTTGTCAAAAATTAGCTGACCATAGATGTGTGGGTTTATTTCTGGGCTCTGAATTCTGTTCTATTGGTCTGTGTGTCTGTTTTTCTGCCAGTACTATGCTGTTTTGATTATTATAGCTGTGTAGTATGTTTTGAAATCAGAGTGTGTGAACTTCCAGCTTTGTTCTTTTTCCTCAGGGTTGTTTTAGCTATTCAGGGTCTTTTGTTGTTCCATATAAATTTTAGGATTCTTTGTTCTATTTCCATGAAAAATATCCTTGGGACTTTGATAGGAATTGCATTGAATCTGTAGATTGCTTTAGATAATATGGACATTTTAACTATGTTAATTCTTCCAATCCATGAGCAAGGAATATCTTTCCATTTCTTTGTGTCTTCTTCCATTTCTTTCAACAATGTCTTAAAGTTTTCAGTGTATAGGTCTTCCACCTCCTTGGTTAAATTTCTTCCTAGGTATTTTATTTCTTTTCCAAGTTTTTTTTGCATTGTATTTGCATTGTAATTATGTTGTGCTCTTGATGTTTACAACATGTGAGAGTGAGAGAAACTAACTAACTACACTTGGTGATTCCATGGGGGATAGATGTGAGTGCTCTTCTGTCAGGGAGGGTTCAGTGGTTACTCCTTTGGTAAGTGGTCAGTGGAGAAACATTTTGTATTAAGGTGATTTTTGCTTCTCCATGTAACCTTATAAATATGAGTCTCTTATCATCGAGTAACTTCTGGTAATGAATCCTCCGATAATGAATATCTTTTGAATTCCTCCACTTTTTTCCATTCTTACTGCCACTTACCTAATGAAAGTGACTTTCATCTCTCGTCTGGATGATTGAAACATCTCCCTTGAGCTTTCTTAGTCCATTCCATTCTTTACAGTTAGGTTGCAATATCTTTCTAAATTAATACTGTTCTGAAACTTAAATCTCTTCAGTAATTCTCCAGAGGCCCTTATGATGAAGTCCAGATTCTTTAATGTCTTGTGACTTAACTAGGCCCTTTGTAATCTGACCCCTCCCTCCTTCTCACTGTTCATCTTTTGCTCTTGCTATTATAAATTCTAGCTAAGTGATGAGTGCTCTTACTTCTAGGACTTTATTCTTACTCTATTTGGAACATTCTTCTTCCTCTCTTCGATCTCTCCTCCTGTTTTCTTCCCCCTTCCCCTTTACCTGGGTGATGCTTATTTATCTTTAGGTCTCAAATGTCACTTTCTCTGGGAGTCTCCCCTAACCTTTCAAGACTGGGCTTTCTGCTCTTTCTCTGTTTTCCCAGACCATATTGTATTTATCCCTACTTTAGTTATTATCATATAGTATTTGCTCACCAGCCTCACCCTCAAGATAGTAAACTCCATGAAGAGTTGAATGCATGAATAATTTCAGCTCTGCTCTGAACTAGCAGTATAACCTTTGGTAAGTCTGTCAGTCTTCCTGGGTCTCACTTTCTCATCTGTAAAATGAAATAATTTGATTAGATGACTTCAAAGAGTTCTTTCAGCTTAAAAAATTCTGACTTCCAAAATTAAATTTCTTTCCTGTGTCCATTTAATTTGCCATTGCTACATTTGAAACAAAGCTCATCTGATTTGCCTAATTAAACAATTAAAGAGTAAACTAGAAGCTTTATACTTTCTCCTTGAATGAGTGCCAGTTCTTTTGTTGCTGTTTCCTTTTTGCTGATGGCATGAGGCCATTTTTGAATATAAGCATATTGTTGCTCATGCACAAGGGCTTTTCAAATATCAAATATTTGTTGTTTGCCAGGTTTCCTTTTCTCAGCACAAATTGAAGCACAATGTGCATGCTTTTTTCCTTTGGTAGTCATTGTTACAATTCGCCTTTTACCCGATAGCATTTGCTGTTCATGTGGGCTGGCAGAATACAGTAGTTCTTGAAGGGCAGCACCCCACCACAGTATTGCTAGTGAACTGAGTTGCAATCTGAGATGTCGTTCCTGTGGTCTTTATATATAACATTGGCATTTCATTAATGTGCATGGGATGATTCTAGACATTTTCCTGGAAGTTGCCAAAGCTTGGTGCCAACAATGTGAGATCAGTGTCTAGAAGTGAAGAGTGAAGCAAGCAATCATCAGGCCTCACAGAAATTGCTTTTGCTTCCAAAAGCCCAAATTACTTGTATTTCCTTCCTTTTCGTGTATTAAAGTGTATTTTCTTCAAAGATATAATGATCTTAGCTGGATTTTCTGTGGAAAACCGAATTTTCAGTAATGGATGAATAAGTGGACACATTGTCTGTGATTATATTGAATTGTTAGAAATACCTAGGGAATTATTTTGTTTCTGACACTAGGACAAAATAATTTGGAAAGGTGTCAGGTTCACCTTACTTATTCCTCAGGTCTGAGCTCTCGCTATGTTGGCAGGTGTTATTTTGTTACTGTGTTACTGTGGGTAGTTGTGGGGGAGTGGAAGTCATGTTGCACTGGAACGCAGAAGACAACTGGAGTAGAATGTTTTTGTTTTACTAGTTCTGGATCTTTAGGCGGGATATTCAACCACCTTTGTCAGAATAAACCTCTGTTTTTTCATCAGTAAAATAGGGATACTAATAATGTAATTCACAAAAGTCTGAGGACTAAGTAAAGTTTGTGCACAAAGACTGTGTTAATCACAAATTGCTTGAACAAATTTTAGATACGTTGCTATTGGAAAAACTTTGTATCTTCAAGAGTAAGGATTTTATGTTGGTTAATGCCGCTCAAAGGTAGAGTTGGCTTTCTTGTGATCTAATGAATTCCCCAATACTGGCCTGTTTGAATATTCTCTCTAATCTTGAGAATCTATAGTTCAGTGATATTCTATTACTGAAAGAGGGTATTGAATCTGGTCTTTTGCTTAATTCTTCTCATCTTGGGATGATATATTAGTAGTTGCCTATTGCAATGTAACAGATGACCCCCAACACATAATAGCTGGAAACAACAGTCATTTATCATCTCACAGTTTCTGTGGGTCAGGATTCTGGGTGCGGCTTAACTAAATGGTTCTGGCTGGGGTCTCTCATGTGGCTGCAATCAGTGTCATCTGGGGGTGCAGTCATCGCAAGGCTTGACTGGGGTTGAATCTGCTCACCTAAATTATTGTCAGCAGGCTTCAGAAGATCTACTTCCAAACTCCTGTGAATGAAGCCACCTCACTCAGGGCAGTGATTTCTCCCCAGAGCAAGAGAAAACACCTACCACAGAAGCCACAGTCTTTTTATAATCTAATCTCAGAAGTGGCAGGCTGTCACCTCCTCTGTGTTCTATTGGTTAGAGGCAAGTCAGCAAGTCCTGCCCACCAAGGGAGGGGGATGATGCGTTGGTGCCAGCTTGGAGGCTGCAAGCTTGCCTGCCGCAGATGGATTACTTACACATTTGAATGGTGAAGTGGAGTTGGTAGACTTCATTTCCCAAGTGTAGTTTTGTAATTCTGAGTTATATATAGTCATTTTTAATGTTCTCAAGTGAGAAAGTAGTTTTTTCAGTTTGTTGGAGCCCATTTCACTATACTTACCAGTTTTAGTATTGTGAAGATGAGTATCTTTCTTTGAGCACCCTTGTCTGAACTGTAGAAGTGATTGTGTAGAACATGAAGCCTATTTTAGTTGTTTTTGAAAGGCTATCAGAGGGAATAAAATGAAGTACCTTCAGCATATCTTTTGTTTTCTAAGACTGTAATTGTACCTTATGTTTGAAAAAATTTAGCTTGTTACTTGTTACAAGCTTGATAGCTTGTAACAGCAATACTTTCTGAGCCATTATTCAGGCTTCACAGAGATTCCAAGTACATGGCATTATGGAGTAGATTGTAGGTAATCAGTCTTTGATTAGATAACAGATAATATCATGATTGTTCAGTTCCTCTAAGGAAGATTTTGTAGGTATTTAAGAAATCATCCTTTTTTATTCTGAGTAGTCTGCTGATGTATGGTATCCTATTGCCTGTTAAAAGAGGATAAATTGGCATACAATTAACTTCTATTAAACTGAAATAAATGTAGGTTTCATTGTGTTTCCCTGTTTTTTCTCAAAAACCAAAGCTCCCTTTTGCAGAAAAGTACCTTGGCAGAGAAGAAGAAGCCTGGGCCTGGAAGTCAGTATACCTGTATTTTAGTCCCAGCTTTGTCCTTAAATATGTGTTTGACCTTGAGACATTATCTCACCATTTCTGACTTCAAATTTCTCATATGGTGTTTTCTTCCAACTTTAAAATGCTGCTCAATTTCTTTTCTCCTCTAGGACAGTCTTGGGGGTAATAGCAAGACAGCCATGGTAGCTACTGTGAGTCCAGCAGCTGATAACTATGACGAAACCCTCTCAACTCTGCGGTATGCAGATCGCGCCAAGAACATTGTGAACCACGCTGTGGTGAATGAGGATCCTAATGCACGAATTATCCGAGATCTCCGGGAAGAAGTAGAAAAACTCCGAGAGCAGCTAACCAAAGCAGAGGTATAACGCACGGCTGAGCAATGCTTCATGGGTCTGTGAAAACCTAGTAAAGCTAGATCTTGAATTTTCTTCCCCTTAGCTGTAAGTGATGAGTATTCCACTTAGGATTTTTGAATTTCCTATAGGAAGAGAAATTTAAGATGCGTCATAAATAAAGGAAGACAGATGGATTGTCGTAGTTGAAATTTAGAGAGTTTTTTCAGGTGTTAAAAGATTGAATAGGAAGAGAGAATAAAGAGAATAAAGGGAGTTGATAAAATGTTTCTTTCCACAGTATAGGTGTCAGAGAAGAGGTATAATAGAATAAGGAAGAGAAAGAGAGAGACACTTGCAAGAAAATGTATATAATTTAATTTTATTGCAGAAGATGGTAGAGAGTGGGCATAGAATGGATGGGTCTGGGAGAGGAATCAGATTTTTGTTGTATCATTTGTTCACTGGTTGAAGTCAGAATGGAAATCTTAAGCAGGTCTTACACACCTTAATATTCTAGTTTTTCTGTGTTGTGGGTTAGTTATGTTTGTAGAAAAAAATAATTTTATAGCAGAAGTACCCATCTGTTGAATGGTACTCTGTTTCCACTGTCCTTAGTACATTCTATAATGTACGGCGTTTGTGTTCCATTACTGAATTTGAAACCTGCCCAATTCTAACCTACAACCAAATGCTCATCCTCTTGTCAAAAGTGGAATAAAATATCAGATTCAGGATCTCTGGTTTATTGAGCATTTCTGTTCCCACAATTTCCCAGCACTGTGGCACTCTTTTCTGGGGTTGGGACCATCGTGCTCTTCTTTCTCATAACCTGTTTTCTGGTATTAAATTGGTATAATATATGATCTTGATCACATTTTTGCCCGTTGAAGTTTATCCTGTTTTTACAGGAATAATTTTACAGTTCATCAAGATTTTTTAAAATTTTCTTTCTGTGTTCCTGGTATTAACAAGGCAATCCAGTTTGCAACATGTCCGAATTTAGTCTGTATGTACTTGAATAAATACCTGAAGTCATCAGTAAAGGCTAGAATGAATCATGCGTATGAGTCCGGATATATGACCTATTGGGATTTAAAAAATAAGCCCTTGATAGCTTGAACTTTCTGTCTCCTTAAATCATTAGTAATTAGATCTTCACAATAACAATAGGTTGGAGGAAACGGCAATAGTTGTCTTCCTTTCAAGCCCACCTTGGGTGACTGAATGACTTTGTGGGACCCATACAGTCTGGAGGCTGTGCATCAGTGAGTCACTGTTATGTCTCAAGTGGATCAGAGACCTCAGTGAGCTGTAGAGCTGAGAGGAGGCCGATTGTTACTTGTCCTTCTGAATTTAGCGAATGCTTTTTTCAGGGCATCCTAAGGACATTTCATGAAATAAACATTTTGCTTGTAGGCAATGAAATCTCCAGAGCTAAAAGACCGGCTGGAAGAATCAGAGAAGCTAATCCAGGAAATGACTGTGACCTGGGAGGAGAAATTAAGGAAAACTGAAGAGATTGCACAGGTTCGTGCTTCCTGATTAAAGAGGAGAGCCTCGTAGCAGTTTGCGCAGTGCGACTCAGAAGGCGTTTCTGGTTCCTTTTTGATTTTTAGCTTTGAAGATGGCAAATCTAGCGTCATTCATAAAAATCAGATCCAGGAGTCTATACTTTATAAAGTTAATTTGAAGGATAAAATTACATAATTACAATTAATTGATTATTATGTAGGAAATACTTTTTCATAAAATTTTTTTTAATGAAATATAACTACTTTCTAGCCTCTGGCTCTGAATACCCAATTCTGTTAAGTGCTTTGCAGACCTAAGGAACATGTCCAAACTACAAAATTATTATTAGTAGATATTAGGCTATGAACTTCTTGCTTCTATATGACAACTGAGTAAAAGTAATATGAAATACTTGAGGTGACTGTCTCTCATTTTTAGAATACTTAATATAGAGTTGTGAAATTTTAGGGTGGGAACATTAGCATTTGGAGAAAATCCTAAAATGTCCAAGTGTCTGTGTAGTAAAAAAGTCACTCTATGGCTTTCCTGTTAGAGGGTTATTCAACCTCTGTTTTAGAAATATGGTAATGTACAGCTTAGCACTCCGTCAAGCAGTCTTTCATGATTGGACAACTCTAATAGTAGCTATTTAATCAAATCTTTTTTTATTTCATTTCTGCTCATTGGCCCAGGTTTATTCTTCCAAAGCTAAGAGAATAAGTGTCCCACTTGTATGTAGTAACTAATAATAACAATAATAGCCAACATGTATTAGGTATCCTTATGTATTGGGCCCTATGCTAAGCCCTTGTATTTTTTAATTTTATTTATTTATAATTTATTTTTTTGAGGAAGATTGGCCCTGAGCTAACATCCATTGCCAATCTTCCTCCTTTTTTCCTTTTTTTCTTCCCAAAGCCCCAGTAGATAGTTGTATGTCATAGTTATACATCCTTCTAGTTGCTCTCTGTGGGATGCCACCTCAGCATGGCTTGATGAGTGATGTGTAGGTCCGCATCCAGGATCCGAACCAGTGAACCCCGGGCTGCTGAAGTGGAGCGCGAGAACTTAACCACTATGCTGCCAGACCGGCCCCAGCGCTTTTAAATATAGTATTTTATTTAATCTTCCCAACAGCCCTACAAGACCAGCCCTCTTGTTAGCCAGATATTTCAAGTCACCTCTGCTTCTTCCCCTCTTCTAAAGTTAAAAATCTCTAGTATTTTCAGCTGTTCCTTGTATTAGGAAATACATAGAACTTGCTACTTCTTTTGTCACCCAGTAAATTCCATCTTTAAATGTGCTGTCCAGAATCAATCTATACATCAGATGTTGTAGGACAGTACTATGATTATGTAGTATAAAGTGGATGTTATATTTATATTAGTGCTGACTAGGATTTAAGTCAATTTTTAAAACATTTCTTATTATAGTCATTTTCAAAATAGATAAAAATAAGAGAAAAGTATAACAAATCCACATGTACCATCACCCGGTTTCATTAAAGACCCACATATGCCCAATCTTGTTTATCTGATCCCTGCACTGGGTTATTTTAAAGCATATTCCTCAAATTACAGAGAAGAGAATACACCAGAATATAAATTTTGCTTCTCATTACATATTTCGCTTTTGTTTTTCATGTATTATAAGTCAGTCTAGTAATTGTTCAATTTGGAACTAATTTGTGTGAGCGTTTTGAGCTCGTCCAAGACTAAAACATTGACTTTGAAGTGCTGTTGTGCTTGGCTTGCTTTGCTGATACAAAGCAGGACAGATCTAAATGAGATGCAGTGCTAGGGAAGCTTATCTTGCGCGTCTTTCCTTACCTAAGCGTTCTCTCCCTCTCTCGGATGTCCCTTTGCAGGACTATGCCTGATTTTGTCCAACGCCTCGTTCAGCATCTTGTTTTTCTCAGCCCCAGGCTTCAGTGCTGCTGAGCTTTCTTCTCTTCTGCCCTGGAAAAGACCTGGTCTGTTGACCATTGGCGGCTTTCCAATACAGACTAGCATTTTCCAAAATGGATTACTGGCAGTGTAGCCACAGGTTGCTAAGAAGTCTTCTGGGAAAAAAATGGTCCTTGGTCAGATAACTTTGGGAAAATCTGGGTAAACTAAGTTAAATCAGTTTCTTTTTTGAAGGACTTTTTACATCATTTTTGGAGAGCTAGGCTCTGCACAAGTCCTCTGTGCTCTGTGTCATCTTGCTGTAGTATGCCAGCCCTCTCAGGATCGTCCCTGCTATTAATTCCTATGGAAACTATCTGTAGCCATTTGACCCTAAATCATGCAATACTTTACTAATTCAGTTTTTTGTGTATACTCTTATTACCTAATGAATTTGGAAGGTTCTCAAGAAAAAAGCCGTATCTTTTAGTTTTTTAAATTGTGTGCTCAATAATATTTTTGAGTAAACAAACAGAACTCAAACTGACTAATTTCTAAGCCCAGTGCCATATCTCTGATACCAAATTGTCTCTTATTTTCATCTTTTATATTCTCACTAGGAAATGCACACCTAAGTGAAATGAAAACCTTGAGCTAGATCAGGGGTCAGCAAACTGTGCCCCTGGGGAAAACCTGGTCTGCCACTTCTTTTCATAAATAAAGTTTTGTGAGAACACAGCCATGCTCATTTGTTTGTGTATTATTTATGGCTTCATTGGCAGAGTTGAATAGCTATGACAGAGACCATAGGGCCCAGAATGACTGAAATATTTACTATCTGACATTTTACAGAAAAAGTTAACCAACCTCTGATATCAGAAGCAATATTTAGTGGTATCAGTAAACATAGCTATGTTTTGTCCTACTTTTTTATTGTACGAACTGATTCCTAGATGTTGCGAACTTTTGTAGATTTTTAGATGACTAAAAGCTTCAGAGTTTTTGGTGGCAGATGTAACGATGAATTGACAGTTTTCTGCCATTGTTATCTTTTTTGGTTTAGACAAAAATTTTGTGGTGTTTTTTATCATTATAAAATCTCAAGTGACAGGAAAATACATAAGAATAAGTATAAAACAATAGTTTACTATCACTGATAATTTAGAGAATTATTCATTTATATTGCTGCCCCTGGTATAGATTTGCTAAATGACCTTGGACAAACCTATATTCAGTAACATTCCATATTCAATAATCAATATTGAGTAAAAGTCAGAAAATCGTTATTGGGGAGTATAGGAGTAGTTGGGAATAAGATTAGTAAGTTTGGCTATCCTATAGAGGGCTTTAAATTTCAAACTAAGATTTTTAGATTTCACCAGTAGGAGCTAGAAAGATTTTAATTTATTAATTTATCTTTTAAAACATTATTAATTTATCTTTTAAAATATGTATTTACTATATGTTATATACTATTTAAGTATATCCTGGCTGTTTTACATACATTATCTCATTTAAGTCCTGTCTTTTCCCTTACTCTGAGTGGCTTTACGTTTGTTAATTCATATATTCTTTTTTAGGCTTAACTTTGCTTCTGTACAATTAAAATTTTGCCACTAGATGACAATAACCAGATTTCTTCTAAATCTTTTAATTATTTCCATAGTGAGAATTAATAGAGTCATAATAGGAATTAAGTAGAAGAAACTATTGTATTACAAAAGTAGTATTTACTTATAGAAAATATAGAAAGATTATTATGAAGAAAATTTTACTGTAATTCAATCATCCAGAGAAAACTATTGTTAATATCTTTGCAGTTTCTTTCAAGTTTTTCTGGTGCACAAATTGATATACTAATTTCTACCCTACATTTTTCTTTAAATATTAGTTCATGAGCATCTACCTATGTCATTTGTAGTTTCCAAAAAAAGAAGAAAAGATGTTTTTATAGAGAAATGTTTCTTCTCATTATTGGAATAATTCTTTAATTATCTACTAAAATTCCTACATAAAAGAGCCTTCCCTTGGAAGGGACTACACAAAATATATTAGAATTGCTTTCCTCATTTTAGGAACATGGTTCTTTATCAAGGATAATAATTTCTTAGAACTGAGTGCTGAAAACTCTAATGTCTAGTGCTAAACTACTCAAAAAGAGTAGTTTGAATGAAAGAACCCCAAAATGTTTTTTGTTAGAAGAGAAACTTAATTGAAAGACCCAGAACCAAAATGTCCCCTTCCCTCCTTTTGTGGTAGTATACTTTTAGGTGAGATGTATTGACCAGGTTGCAGTGGCCTATCAAGTAGGATGCTATGCCTAGAAATAGCAAAATTCTGAGGCTGTAATTTAATTATGCTGTAAAGTTACTGTGTGGCGCTAGTTAAATGACTTAGCTTGTCTTGTCTTTCCTTAGAATCAAAGGTCCTTGGTGGCTGTGACTCATTACTACTTGCTATTTATGCATAGTCAAAGACACTCTACTCTGCTCCAATTCATATATGCCCTAATTAGAGAGCATTGGTTGCAGGATTCACATCTATCTCCCTATATGCATATGTTCATATATTATATGGATTCAGAGACAGGTAGGCACAAAAGAGAAAGGTTCATATTCTTATGAAAATAGTACTCGAATGCATATGGGAGTTTTATTTTGATAAATTCTCAACACTGACATTTTGAGTGCTCGTTGCTCATATGCACTGTGCTAGGTGCTAGGTGCTAGGAACACACAGTGGACAGATGGGATCCATGCCCTTACAGAGAAATGGTCAAGTAAACACTTACCAAGTACGAGAACAAGTATGCTCCAGACAGAAAGAAGAGTGTAAAATCCCTTAAGCTAAAGAGAGGATTCTTGACGCTTTCAGGGACCTGGAAGATGTTCCATGTACCTGTAGTACAGGCTTTGAGAGTGGAGTGACACGACTTGAAGATGGAGAGTAAATGGGCCAGATTGAAGGGCCAGTTGAGGGAGTTTGGTCTTTAGCCTGGCTGGGGAGTCACTGAGGATGTCAAGCAGCAGAGTGTGTTGAAAACTTGGCTTTTTAGAAAGATCACAGTTGAGTAAAACACTTACATTTGTTCCGTTATACAAAATTAAATGAGAAAGATGAATTCTAGATGTTAGATATTTTCACGAATGGAAATTGAGAACTCAGTAGTATACTTGGTTGCTATTTGTAATGGCTTTATTTTTCAAAATAAAAAAGTTTTAATTAACAAAATAAAACATTATGTAGTTTGGAAAGAGAAAAAATGCAATAATCTATAATACTATGTCCTAAGATAACATATTTGAATTATACAGTTATTTAATAATTATTCTAGCGTAAGACCTTTTATATCTCGCTGCCTCAATAGGTGTGGAATTAATACTTCTCTAATAATTTACAGGAACGACAGAAACAGCTGGAGAGTCTTGGAATATCTCTTCAATCTTCTGGAATTAAAGTTGGGGATGATAAGTGTTTCCTTGTTAATCTGAATGCTGATCCAGCTCTGAATGAACTTCTTGTTTACTATTTAAAGGTGAAGTAATAGGCTTTGCTACTATTTCCTGCCATGAAATAGAACAGTATTTCCCACTGTTTTTTTTAAACTTGGAGAACTGCACTCAAAAATAATGAGTTAGTAAATTGTTTTTATTTGCGTAAGCCGGAGGGTAGAAAAATCTTGGGTTTCTGGGATCAGTTTCTCTTTTTAGTTTTTGAGTGAAGTCATTCAACCTAGTGATTTAAAAAATGATATTCTGATATTGTTTCCAGTAAATTAAGTAACTTAGCTATTATTATTTAATGTGATTTATACCAAGGAGTTAAGTAGATAACTTTAAAGTTTAAAGAATGACTTTTAAAAGTAAATGCTTCGTTAGTAGACTAAAGCTTTTGTGATTTATATGAAGCGCACCTTTTTGTGAGTGGTTCGTTAGCTTATAAGAGGAAATGTTTAAAGGAAGTTATGTACTTAGGACCACTTGATATGAAATTTGTGTTTCCAGTAATTCTTAGGAAAATTAAAAAATTTGGATTATCAACTTATAAAAAAAGAGGTAACTTAGAGACTGAGAGGATCAGAGTATGGAACAGAAAAAAATAAAATACTGGTATACATTGAAACCTGTAAGTCGTGGGACGTATCAGGAAGAGACAACTTTAGAATGAGCATGAATCCTGAGACACCACATAAGTTATGTGGAGCTCGCCAAAATTGACGGTGTGAAGCTCAGAGCATAAATGAATTATATAATGGACTATATGACTCTAACATGCAGTTAATAAATATTAGGAGGAAATTTTTTCCCCCTCATAATACAGGAACTCTCTGTGTGGGTTTTACTAAAGTGACTAAGAAAGTAAAGATAATGAGCTAGTCAAGTTGGAAGCAGCTTTAAAATTAGAGAGTTGTGTCATTTCATTTCTAAAGAGACCGAAGAGTTCATGACACACTGGCTAGTTCTCAGTTTTTATCAGAGATATCCTGGGATAATTGCTTTGTGTTATTTTGATAAAGCCCCTTTATTAATATCTTACACCATGTTTTATCACACTGTGCGTTAAATCGTGTCTTTGGTACATATGGTCATGTGTGCACTGTAGGTATTGTGGTGCAGTGGGAGCAGCACTGGAGTGGGAGAGGGTGACCTGTGTTCTAGTCCAGTAGCACAACTTTATTTATTTATTTTGTGAGGAAGATCAGCCCTGAGCTAACATCCATGCTAATCCTCCTCTTTTTGCTGAGGAAGACTGGCTCTGAGCTAACATCTATTGCCAGTCCTCCTCCTTTTTTTCCCCAAAGCCCCAGTGGATAGTTGTATGTCATAGTTGCACATCCTTCTAGTTGCTGTATGTGGGACACGGCCTCAGCATGGCCGGAGAAGCGGTGCGTCGGTGCGTGCCCGGGATCCGAACCCAGGGCACCAGTAGTGGAGCGCGCGCACTTAACCGCTAAGCCACGGGGCCGGCCCGTCCAGTACCACAACTTAACAGATGTTTGATCTGAAGTCCTTTGCCCCCTCCAGTCTATAGTTTCTTCCTCTGTAAATGGAAGTTTTCTCTGTCTGGCAACCTCACAGGTTCCTATGAAGATTAAATGAGATTTGATATATGGAAGCACTTTATAAACAAAAGCACTATATAAATATAAAGTATTCCACATATCATTTTCTCATTTGATACTCTGTGTGGTAACTTAATATGTATATTATCCTTGTCTATTGAAAAAAATGATGTATTATCATGTCACTTACTGTACTTCTAAACAATGTTGGCAGCATTTTGGGTTAGAATTTCAGCTGTAGATATTCATATGCTTTAGGAGAGATGCAATATTAGAATGGGACTTAAATATTCTACCCTTTTTATTTCTCAGAACTATGAGTTCATTTTCTTTTTGATGTGATGAAGTTCAAATTGGGACACACAAACACATACACCCAACAAGAAAACAACCTGATTCATATCTGTTTCTTAACTGAAAAATTAAACAAAGGAACTATTTAAAGACTTTTGGAGAGTACTCCAAATATTTCTGGTTGCCTTGTGTGGAGGTGTTGGGATTCTGTTTCAGACCGTGTGGTCAACCCTGTGTTGGCAGAGTTTGAGGCAGTGTTGATTTCTTCACTGCCCAAGCTAACCCCACGACAAAAAGTATATTCATGACAAAGCACATTCAAAAGGATGGTCTCGGTCCAAGAACAGTTTCTGCTTCGGTAAAGCGATACCATGATGTGGGATGGAGGAATTTGGAGGCTGAGCGTTTTTTATTTCTTTGCTTTCAAATTCTCAAGTCAGTTTAGATGCTGGGCAGATGACTTCACATCTCTGGGTGACTTTTATCACCCCATCTGTAAAATGAGGGCACTGGATTAAATGATCTCTAATGTTCTTTCTAGTTCCAAATTGTATGGTTCTCTTCCAGAACAGAATCCTCCATTTATTTGTTCTGTCTTGAACTGGCAGAGGCAAGGTGTTGTGGCCAAACCATAGATAGAGCCTAATTCACAAGATAATTTTGTATTTAATTTCCATATACAGGCAGTCCTTGCTTTGCATGGTTCTAACATACACGAATTCCAGTTACCACGATTTAGTATATGATGTTGACACTTCTGCTGTTTGTGAGATTCTAAATACACAGCCAGAGGAACTTAGTGAAGGTCAGTTTATCAATATAAATAATGAAAGTGGTTGTGATGATAAGAATGAAGATGTCTCAAAGAGAGTGACACCAGAAAACACTTCACATTAAGGGAACTCTTTGGAGATCCTTTGAAACATTGAAAGCATAAAGGGTATGAAATGGTAGAATCTTAGAAAGAGGTATGACAGTTTGCCAAGGCATGGAAAATATGCTCACTCCGTATTGTAAGTTATACGTTGAGAAGAAGGCAAGCACTATTCAAATTACTCTCGATAAGCTTTTAACGAAGAAATAAAATGCTTTAAATTTCAGTGTTTCTAATGTTCTAAATTATAGTGTACTAAATGAATATCAGTTTTACTATTTTTTGATTTCCCTATACATTATAACAGTAAGAGAATTCTTAATGTTTTTACAGGCTATTTTAAAGGTCACAGAATAATTGCAATTTTTCTCATTGATTATTAAGATCTCTTTGCAAAGTTATTTTTACAGTCCCACACTCTCGTGCAAAGCAAGGACTGCCTGCAGTTCTGAGGTAGACTTGGAGATTTATACCAGCATCAGCCAAGCTTCTAGAGGGAGGAGCTGTTCCCCTCACTTTAAAAACATTATGCCAGTAATATACCGTTTTTTCCTAAAGAGTTTTATGAAGACTTATTAGAAAAAGAAGGGGTGGATTAGCGCGCAAATTCTAACACCGAGAGATGACCACACGTAATAGTTAATATTTTTATTTCTGTCCTCTGGGTCTATTCCTATATGTATGTGTATAGCTTTATACTGATACGTATTTTTAAATTACAGAAGTAGGATCATAGTATGATTGATTCTAATCACCTCTTTGAATTATCCACCAGATCTTTCAGGAGAGCTTTTCCGCTTATGTAGTTCTGGATCTACTTTTTTCACAAGTCAGCTACTAATGGCTGAGGAAACAGGGGTGATTCTGAAGGATTTGGGACAAATTATACATATACACACTTGGTAAGAATTTGTACCAGGGATTCAGCAACAGCTTCAAAGCACATGTCCATCCTGTAGCATAGCTCCCATTGAGAGTAAACTGCCTGTTGTCGTCTTTGCCGGTAATCAGTCACCGATTGAGGTGGTCAGAATGGCAGGGGCGGCAGCCGCTCTGTTTATGGAGCCGTGGGCTAGGCTTCAGGGAGCCCAAGATGAGTAAGACGCAGTTGTGGCACGTTACAAGTTCCTGGTTGGCAGAAGTTTGGCTCATCTAGTGTAGTATTGGAATTTGTAAAAGACCGAAGGATACCTTTCTTTCCTTCTTCACCTCCATTCCAGAAAAGCTGTCTTCAGAGTCTTGGTTCTGTCAAGCTAGGGCGACTTCTTGACTAAAGAATTTTGATTATTTAGATATGTAAAGAGTAACAAATACTTTTCTGCTTATTGTCCCTGGTCCTCAGTTACCTTTTCCTTCAGAAGTTGTCTGATAAGGCTGAGGGGCTACACAGACTATACTAGTATGCTGCTTTTCTTGCTTGTAGGATAGGAAAAGCCACCCTGTGAAATATGGCACTAATGAATACGTCCTGTCTCTGTCCGTCTTCCCCTACTCCCTCCTTCTCTTTCTCTCTCTCTCTTTCTCTCTTTTTGAGGACTTAGTTGATCAAAGTGAGATTCTCAAAAGAGCTACATAAATAGTTGATTTATAAAGGAAGCAGGCATAGTAAATTCATAGAATAGTTAACTAATCATCTTCAGTGAAATTAAATTTAAATGGATGAAGAAAGGTTAAAAGGCCATTCCTATCCTTTGATTATTTCTGAGATTTTAAAATATAGTATTTTATATTTGCTAAAGTTTTCCCTAAAACTAGTATACTTTAGAGTCATTATACCCATAGATCACATAGAGACTGAAAAGCTATCCCTGATTATCTTATTTTGATTACTTTGTTCTTTCATAGCATTTAGTTACTCATTAGATAAACTTCTGTACCAACGTATGATAAGTTAATTTTTTTCTCTCATCCTCATTTTTTTATTGCAGTGCTTAGAGCACAATGGAGAGAACTTCTCAAAAAGCTTATTGTCTAACTTGTTTAAATATCAAACATTAAGGCTTTGGCAAAGTTGAGCTTTTAGAACTCAATATTTGAGGTTCCAGCAAATCCTCATCCAAATCAGAATAGATTCATTATAACCTCCAATGAGAGATTTAAGTTGTCGTTTGTAACATAAGCTCTGTAATTGTGACCTTATCTATCTCTTGTCTCTAATGGCTCAATGCCTGGCTCAAAATAGGTGCTCAATGTAATATTTGTTGAAAAAATGAAATTTTCCTTCTAGAACTTGGTTTAAACCTTTGCCTATTTGAGTTAATATTGTGTCTTTGATAATTTTTAATTCAGTCTATCAACAGACATTTAGCATCCACCATGTATCGTGTACTAGGCTAGTTGTTGGAGAAGACGCAGGGGTCCTGTAGACCTTGCTATCTAAATAAGGGAAAAAACAACATTTGTGTGATAGTAAATTGTGGTACTGAATCTAAGTGTAATTAGGGGTCAGAGAAGGGAGAAGTCAGTGTTGACTAATGTGAAACCTTCAAGTAGAAGATGTAGTTAGAAGTAGGTGTTGAAAGATACTTTGTATTTAGATGAAGGGAAGAGAAAGCATTTCTGGTAGAGAGAACAAGAGTGAGGGCAAAGATGTGGGAATGAACCTGTGTGCCATCTTGGAGTGTGGTAGTAGGAGCTGGTGGTACACTCAAACTGCAACCTAGAGTTTGGCTCTAGGCTTTCTCCACCTCCACTCCCAAGGGCAAAAAGGATCCCAAAGGCACAAGTAGGACGAGGAAAGGGATTCTACATAGAAATGGCCTAGGGCAGATGCTTTGGGGATTTTTTCTTCTTTTTTAGGTGATCTTGGGCACTTTTTCTCTTACAGACTTTTTTCCCTTTTGGAAGAACTTCTCTCCACCTTGTGGTTGATGTTTAAGACAGAGGGGAGAACCAAAGTGGGGAAGGGAGACAGGCATGGACTAGATTCTTTAGACCTGCTGCTGACCGTCACAAAAGCATTACTTGTAGTTTACACCTAATCAAGCCCTGTTCTCCAGCTTATGAAGGTGTGGGATTGGCCAGGAAGCCTCACCTGATAGCGAGGAGTATCATTTGCCTGGAATGTCCTCTGTATTGTATACACTACTTGAGAATTGGGACGGTTCTGGATCCCAGAGCTTTGTTTCCTTTGAAACACCACTGCAGTATAGTTGAGAGAAGAAACCCCCAGAAAAGTTGGAAATGAAAATACAAGAGAGAAGAGGCCTTTTATGAGATTGAGGTCCCAGAAGAGATGGGGAGAATTGGAACCCAGAATATAATTAGAAGAGTACTTACAAAGAAGAGGAGAGAATCATCTTCCATTGAGTCTGAAGGGAATGCTAAGGGAAATGATCGTTCATTTATTTTTCTTCTGTATGTATTTAATGGCTAAATGTGCCAGGCCCGTGTTAAGTGCTTGGATTACAGTGGGGAGCAGGTCAGGCTGTTCTCTGCTCTCATGGAGTTTCCATGCTAGCTGTGAAGATGGACAGTAAACCCACCAACAGTCAGTGCTGTGTAAGGAATTCAAAAATGAGAGTGATAAGTGGCTGTTTCTGATTGTCAGCTCAGGCTGCACCGCTCTGAGGATGTGCCCTTAAAAGCTGAGATAGAAATGATAAGAGGCTACCAGTTTCAAGATCACGAGAAGAGCATTTCTGACAGAGGGAACAGTCAGTGTGCTCAAAGAACAGATAAAAAGCCAATGTGGCTGGATCACGCTCCAGAAGAGGGAGAGTGGTAGGAGCCAGGATAACAGAGGTAGGCAGGGGCCAGGTTGCAGAGGGTTTTGTAAGTCTGGGTAAGGATTTAGGCTTCATTAGAAGCTACTAGAGGGTTTTCAATAGGGGGATCATATGATCAGCTGTTGTGGTGGGAGGGGAGGAGGGGGGTAGAAGTGGAGAAGTAGTAGGAGGCTCTTGTTTTCACCCTGGCAAGAGACTAGGATGTGATAGTAGAGGTGGGGAAAAATGAGCTGATTCTTGATATGTTTTGGAGGGAGAGTCTGTAAGGATTTCCTGATTCATGTGGGTCTAGGGGTAGCTGGTAAGGGAAAGAGAGGACTGGAGGATAGCATCTAAGCCTTTTAGTTGACTAACTGGCTGGTGGTAGTGCCATTGTTATTGGGGAAGTGAATAGAGTCATTGGGTCCGGGGGATTGGGGGAAGCAAAGGTTCTGCTTTTTTCCTTTCACTTTGAAATGTCTTTAGACATCCAAGTTGTGCCAAGTAGGCAATAAATAATGGTGACTGTGGTAGGGGAGGTGGGAAAATAATGGAACTAAAGTCTGTACTTCCTAGTGGGTGATTTAATTTATATAGAGACAGTGTTTAAAGCCCATGGGGCTGGACGAGATCATTGTGGTCAGGGGTCAGCAGCCTACTTCACAGGCCAGATCTAGCTCCCTGCCTGTTTTTATATGGCCCACGAGCTAAGAATGGTTTTTACATTTTTTCAAATGGTTAAAAAAAATCAAAAGAATCGTAATATTTTGGACACTTGAAAATTACATGAAGTTAAAATTTCAGTGTTCATAAATAAAGTTTTATTGGAAAGTAGCCACACTTGTTCATTTGTATATAGTCTGGCTGCTTTCACACTACAAGGGCAGAGTTGAGTAGTTACATATGACTTGTAAAGCCTAAAATATTTCAGATCTGACCCCTGATCTAGGCATGTAAAAGGAGAAGGTGGCCTAGGGACACATCCCAGTCATATCGACATTTAGTCACGTATGGGCAGTCAAATCTTGAAGCACACAAGAGGGAGCTTGATTTTTATGTCAGTTTTCTCAGTTAGCAGCCAAAAAGTGAGGCTAGTGATTGGGGCTTAGAGAATTGAGTAACTGGGGGTCTACAGTAAAGAAGAACACAGCTGTCCTATCTTTTAAGACCATGTGATTCATAAAATAATTTTAGTCTTTTCAAACTCCTTAAATTTGAATAGCTTTTTATCTTTGTAGTTGACTGATCTTGATTGAGACCAGGTAAGTGATGTACAACTTAAGTAACTGTAGTTTTCAGACCAATATTTTTGGTACATCATTGACACACGGCTCGTGCTCTGAGAGTAGTATGAAATATTTGGAATCAAGATTGCAGTTGAAAATAATGAATATAGTATAGACATTAATATAAAACTACAGTTTAAGGTTTAAAAGGTATAACTCAACTCATTGCATTATTCCTTATAAGAAAATATATCTTGTAGAATGAATTTCAGAGAAAGCCAGAAATTCCCTCTACTCTTCCATTTGCTTTAAAAGTCTTTTAGCTAAGATAATGGATCAATGTATGAGGGCTCAGAGTAGATGATTTCAGTTTGTGTACATGTAAGAATACAATATTAATCAGTAATTTTGATTCTTTTGTAGGAACATACATTGATAGGTTCAGCAAATTCCCAGGATATCCAACTATGTGGAATGGGAATTCTTCCTGAACATTGTATTATAGACATCATATCAGAAGGCCAGGTTATGCTGACTCCTCAAAAGAACACCAGGTAATGGACTTTAATTAGTGTCAATGTCACAATAATTGTTAAGAGGAAGAAAGTACACTAGTTGTGGGTGGTATACAGGATGTTTAGCCTTTGTTTGCTTTTAAGTTCACTTAATGAAGATATCCAGTTAGTTATCAAGACCTTTATATTTAACTTTTTAATATCTCTTAAACCTATCCCTTCCTCTCTATACCCACTACTGTGGCCCTATTTACATAAGGCCCTCATCAAATCTTGCTTGGAACCCCTGCTGACACCCTAATCTTTTTTCCTGGTCCACTCACAATATAGCCAGATGGCTTTCCACTATTTTGGAGACAAAATCATATATCTTTCCTATTTATCTCCTTTTCCTCTGCATCTGCCATTCCTTTGACCAGCAAGGAATGCTGTTTGACCTTGAAAGTTGATCTCTGTCATTATCTACTTTGGAGAATTCCCTGTTAGGTCCAAATTAAGGACCCCTAGTGTGTATTCCAGTGCACCTCATGCTTCCCATTATGTTAACACTTTATATTGTGTTCTTGTGGGCTGTTAACCTTTATTACCCCATTGGACTATGTGCTCCTTGAGGACAAGGAGCTTTCTTTTTTTTTTCTCTATCCCTAGCATGTAATATTAAGTGCTCAAAAAGTAATGAATGAATGAAGAGGCATAACATTATATAAATTAAACGTTTGTCATTTTGTTTCCTTAAGCTGTAAAACTGTTATTGCCCAGTTATATAACTATCAATAGCTGTTACAGATGATGGTTAACTTACTTATATTGATCTTCCAAATGTTGATTCATTTGATTATATGATATCAAAAAATCATTACTATCTCACTGATTTCATTCATAAAGACCTTTAAGTATTGGGAAGCTATCAAGCTCATGGTAAGGATATAAATGAGAAAGAAAAAAAAGAGCAGAAGCTGGCCTGGCACTCCCAGCCAGGCCATGCTGTTCTCTTTTGGGCATAAATAATCTCACAGAATACCAGCCTGAGACAAGGCTACCCTGAGGCTGTGATAAAATAAGACACAGCAGGCTGCATAATAATTTTGCTTAAGCACAGACAAAAACAGGTCACTGTGCCACCCACGATATACGAAACACCCTGTCTTGGCCAATGTGATTGACAACTACTTCACTGATTACAACTTAATCCTCGTTCTGGTCTCCCTTCTATAGATAAGAGTTTTTGAATTACCCAATTATAGAATTGCTCCTTTCTGACATCATCCTGTATATACAGAACCCTCGCTTCCTTAGGCCCTCTCCCAGGTCGCCCAGCTAAAGCCCAAATCCTGCAACAGATCCTTCCCAGCACCCTCTCACTCAAACGCCCCGTGCTTCTCATGGTGTGTCTTTTCCCTCTGGGTGAGTAATAAACCCAGCTTGTTCAACTACAGGAATGTTCTTGGTGGTCTTTGGTTGGAGGACATGGACACAAGTTTTCCAAAATTCTAATTTTTATTTGAAAGCTTAAAATTTACAAGTGGCAATAAATACTCTCAGTTGTTTTCCTTGAAGTAGTAGGCTGGTTTTGTTCATTTTCAAGAAAATGCCTAGTATACACGTCTGAAAAACTACTTTGTATATGTCTTTTACTAAAGACAGTCATCATACTTTGGTATGCATTAACACAGTGCTTTTCATTTACTTCTCGTTTTGTCACCTGAAATATTTAAAAAATTGTATATTCACGTGTCAAGATGTAATAAAAGAATTTTTACTGCTTCATCAAGGACATTGTCAAGTGAAATTTTTTTTTTCTTTTTTAATTGTGAATGCATGGCAGTGAATAATCCAGAGACTACTGGTAATGTTCGATGCCACTGCCCTGATTTGTACTAGAGCACCAGCAGTTTTACTCACCACCAATACACTTGTCAACACAGTGGACAAGGGCAGGGAACCTGTTAGCATTATTATGAAAATAGCTTTCATCTTGGGGCCCCCACGCAGACCACTCTTTGAGAACTGTTATTATATTCATGCTTTTATTTACTACTTATGGCTTAGTTGCTGTGACTTTCAAACTTAAGCCTATATATGTGTTTGCCTTTACTTAAACTCCTCATTGTATTTAAGAAATTTGTGTCATAAAGGCTAAAATCTGCTAATTTTAGTAGGTCCCCTCTTGTCCAAACTGTATTTTTTGAGCTCGTGTTTTGAATAATCAGACTATAGGAGTGTAAAGACCAATTACTTTTAGTGTTTAAAAATCCACATGGTGAGTGAATTCTAGATAGAGAGTAAAATTTTGTGTGTATGCATATAGATAAAAAATAACCAGCAATATAACGCTCGGTAAATGCTTTAGGAATTTAAAGAAACTAAGATACTACAGGCTGGAGGGATGAGCAGCATTTACAGAGGAAGTAGAAACCAAACTGGACTTTGAGAGTGGAATGAGCCTCGGGTGGATGGAGAGGAATGGGAACCTTATTCCAGGTTGTAGGACTGGTATGAGCTTGGCTTTGGAGGAAGAGTCAATCTGTTTAACAGACAGAACATAAGCCAATTTTTTTGCAGAGGTTGAAAGTTTCACTAGAAGAGGCAAAGGAGGAGATAAAGAGGGCTTCCTTTTGTAGAGCCTTGAGTGTCAAATTAAAGAACTTAAACTTTATCCTATATCTTAGTAAATGAGTCATTCAGCAGGAGAGAGCATGGTGACAGTGGTATTCCAGGAATCTCAGTCTTATAGTGGTGTGCATAATTTTCTGTTTATTTCCTGACCCTACAGATTCTTTCCTTGGGATCTTTCTACCCATCCTTTCTTCTGTTGAACTCCATTGTCAAGATAAGCAGTCAAGTGGACCTGATAAATCTTCTACATATTGATAGGATATGGACATTTTTCTATGCTATAGGAAGTTACAGAAGAATTTAACATAGGTCTCATTTCTTATTACTGATATCTGTAGATATTTCTAGAGTCTAGTTGGTTGATTGCCTCTTTTTATCCATATTGGTGGGACATACTTGTTTTAGTTGCAATGTATATACTACTACTATCGTTTTATTATTGGCTGTAATGGTTCCATATTTACTCCTTTATATGCTATATAACAAATTTAGAACTTGAAAAAAACAGAGGATACTAATCTATTATATTTAGTACCATAAACGTTTTAGGTAAATCAGCAAAGAAGTAAATACAAATAATAAAATTCTCCAAGGGCAGGTTTTATTTTGGGGAATTGATTATTTTGTTTTTCGTAGTAACTGGATCTCTACGTATTGGAAAGTTGAAGGTTAAAGGAGAAAACATGATAATCATTACTTACATTTGACCTCTTCTCCCCACAGAACATTTGTAAATGGCTCTTCTGTATCCAGTCCTACACAGCTACAACATGGAGACAGGATATTATGGGGAAACAACCACTTCTTCAGGTATGACATAATTCACGGCTCTTAGAGAGAGATTATTGAAAATTATACTCTGAAATAGAAGAATACATACTAAAATGTAAACCTAACTCTATAAAAATTATACATTGTTTTGTGTACATATACATTTGTTTACTATATGTGTATTTATTTACTATGTATATGTTTGTTCACTGTGTGGTATGAGACAGAGGGATATATGAACAATACACTCAGGAAAAATACTGAGTTTACTTACATATTTTTTCTTTTTCAATGGAAGATTATTGTTTTGCCATCTGATATAAGAATTCATTAATTTTTTTTTGGCTTATCTTTTTATTTGTTTATTTTTCATTGGAAAACAGCAGTGATTTTAGTTTCCTTATCCATAAAATAAGGTTCATATTTCTTTTAGGAAGGCTTTCAGCTTCAAGTAATGGCAGACTTGACTGTAATGGCTTAAACAGGTGGTTTACTTCTCTGACAAAACAGGAAATCTGAAGGAAGATGGTTGTTGGCATTGGCTAGGCCTATCAAAAATGTCATGGCAGAAATCTTGTCATTGTTTTGGCCTTCCCTTGGTCTAAAGATGGTCATGCCACTCAAGGCATTAGAGCAGCATTGTGAAGAAAACAGGGTTGAGGTGTGATAGTACTCACCCTGACTGTCTTCTTGATAAGAAAAAGCAGAGGTCTTCCCAGAGTCCCCAGCAACCTTCCACTTAGGTCTCATTTGCTAGAATTTGCCTCTTAGCTGCAAGGGAGGCTGAGAAAGTGTCTGACCTGACACTGCACACATTACTTCCCATACAAAACTGGTGGTCTATTGTCAGGGAAAGGTGGGCTGGATATAATATAAAATTAAAATCCTGGTCTATTTGTCTTCCTGTCACTGGTCACTGTGCTCCTGATATCAAACTGGTTTTCTTATAGTTAATGGAAGATCCTTTGCTTGGAGGCCTGTTGATATTTTGATTATTGAAGAAACGGTAGAGGGGAACAAAGTGCATGGAAAATATTTTTCATGTTTTTCCTTCTCAAACTAAATCAAGTGTAAATTTCTTGGCTTAGTATTCAAAGCCTTCATAGTTTGGGTTAAGTTGATCTTTCCAGCATTATTTCTTACAACTTCCACTACACAAATTTTGTGTGTCCCCATGTTGTTGTCTTCATAATTTCTCCAGAGACTAGGAGAGTTTCCATCCCCACATCTCTTCTCATGCTGTTTCCTCTGCCCTAATGCCCTGCTTTCTCCTTATCCTTTAAGGCTCAGCTCAAATGACTTCACTTTATCATCCCTTCCATAATTATTCCAGTCTGAAGTGGTCCTCAGCTTTTCTTTAATGCCTAGCTTGTAACCGTCAGGAGGCCTTGTGTCACACTCTCTGTTGTAATTATTTGAGCATATGTGTGTGTTTTATTTCTACTACTAGGACATAAACTTCCTGAGTACAGTAATTGCCTAATACTTACGTGGTATACTCTTGCAATCCAGCAAATGCTCATATTTAATGAGTGGAATGAATAAGTGCATATCTTTACCTAAAAAATAATGTTCTTTTTTCCCGCAAGACTGAATTTGCCTAAAAAGAAAAAGAAAGCAGATCGAGAGGATGAGGAACAAGACCCCTCCATGAAGAATGATGCCAGTTCTGAGCAGCTGGATGTAGACGGAGACTCCTCCAGCGAGGTTTCCAGTGAAATCAACTTCAATTACGAATATGCGCAGATGGAGGTTACCATGAAGGCTCTGGGCAATAATGGTGGGCAGATCTGTCGTGCATTTCAGAATCTTTGAAAGGTGGTGGAGTGTTAAAAATGTTTATGACTGAGACCTTTTAGATGTTAGCAAAAAAGGAAATCTTCTTGTTATTCTCTCTACTATAATCTTTGTGTCTTTGGCTTTAATTTATATTTATAAAAACTTTCATTCTTTCTGCCTTGATATACAAATCACTGCAAACTTTGTACTCATTGATAGAATTTCTCAGGTTTGAAACTTGACTGCCTTGGCTCATTATTGTAGTGGTTTTCTGGAGCATTAACCATTATGTGTAGAACATATAACAGACCTGCTCTTTCTGTATGGAAGATAGTTTGGCATACAACTGACAGAATAGATAATATATTAAGTAATTGGGAGTAAGGAAAGCTAAGTTTATTCCAAACTGTCTTTAAGAATCATATTTTATTAATTAGAATGACAAACAACAATGTAGGATTTGACATATATCATGTTGTACAGTTACCTTTGTTCATTATTTACCTTTTAAAAAAAAACTTGTTTAGATCCAATGCAGTCAATATTGAACAGCCTGGAACAGCAGCATGAAGAAGAAAAGCGATCTGCGTTAGAGCGCCAGAGGCTTATGTATGAACACGAATTGGAGCAGCTACGAAGAAGGCTGTCTCCTGAGAAACAAAACTGTCGCACTGTGGACAGATTTTCTTTCCACTCACCCAGTGCCCAGCAGCGATTGAGGCAGTGGGCTGAAGAGAGGTAGGTGGTACAGAGGGCCTCTGTTGTATGTGCTCAGCACCTGTAACTCACCTTGGTGAGATACAGAATGGAAAAATCTAAACATTACTTTAAAAAAGAGTTATATTAAAAGAAGAGCATTACAGCTAAGAACCACTTGACATTATCCTTTTTTTTTCATTTTTGAAAAAAATGAGAATCCTCAATTTATATTGATTTATTTAAAGCTGCCCATGTTAGGCACTGCCCCATTTTTCGTTTATATGGCTTTTGGATTTGAATAAACAAGTATTTGTGCTTAGAAGTTATACTTTATCATTGTATTATACTTTAGGTTCTGAAGCTTGGGTAGATGCTTTTTAAAAAAAGGAAAAAAAAGAAAGGTGGTTATCTGGACTGATTAGCTCAGGTAGGTAAAGCATGGTGCTAATGAGATTCAGATTGCAAGTTTGATCTCTATCCGGTCTAATTAGCATTGCACTAAAATGCCTTATCCATGGTTACAGACTGTACTTAACTAACCTCTTGCTGTTCAAAGTTTGGTCTACAGACAGACAGCACCTCTGTCACTTGGAGATTGATATAAATGTAGCATTTCAGGCCCCACCCCAGACCTACTGAGTCAAAATCTTCAGTTTGTCAAATCCCCAGGTGATTGTATACACAGTCAAGTTTGCAAAGCACTGCCCTAATGTACGGCCAGCTTGTTACATGAGCCTGTGCCAGTGCTTATGATGTAGCCCAGATACAAGTGCGTGCATGGGTCAGTGTCGGTAATGTATTCCCTGTGTGCAAAAGACAATTGTAAAGCTTGGTTTGCAGTTTGGCATTAACGTATTATGTACTATATAATATTCTGATGTGCTGCTTGATGGTTATCCTCCCTCCCCTCTTTTTTTTTTAAAGAGAAGCAACACTGAATAACAGCCTGATGAGGCTGAGGGAACAAATTGTTAAAGCCAATCTGCTGGTGAGAGAAGCTAGTTACATTGCAGAAGAACTGGATAAAAGAACAGAGTATAAAGTAACCCTACAGATTCCAGCCTCCAGCCTCGATGCCAACAGGAAGGTGAGGTTGCCATTAATGGAAAAAACAAAGTTATCATTGGATAAACTGCTTTCTATTTCACCAGGGTTAGTTAAACCCAGTGGGTCAGCTCTCATTCCCGTCTATACCCTCCGCAGTCTAGATCCTTCCATACCTGTCCTCCTCTCTTGAGTAGAATCAACGTTTAATTATCTGTCTTTGTTGTATATATGTCCTTTATCTGCTAGAAATATCCTCTCCACACCCCCAGCCCTACCAATTGATTTCACTCAACTCCCTTTCTTGAGATCTGTTTAAATTATTTCTGAGAAGTCTTTCCTGATGAATCTTCCCAAAGTGGTTTTTCCCTTCGTTCTGTTACCACTCTACAACCACCTCCCCCAAGTTAGGTGTTTTTTCTGCTTATACCATGTTATTTTCTATTTGCGAATACGTTGCTCTGCACAACTGTTCATTGGTTGTTTCATGTGTATATTCAGGGTCACAAATCTCTTTTTTTGGTGTAATGTAATAAGCTCAATAAAATGTAGCAGGAAAGTCCCATCAATATCTTCCCTCCTTGCCATTCAGTTGTTTTCTTTTTTTTCCTATTTAGGTTCTTTTCTAGCTCTTGCTCATGTTCATACATAATTTTTGATGGATTAGGTAGAATTTTGTATTCAGATAAATATTTTGAGGGTCTTTGTGCTGTGTTTCTTATACGGTATTTGACACAACAAAGTTTTAATGAGTCCTTCTTAGGTGTTCTATTCTAATTTGATAGCAAGGACCACATCTTTCTTTCTCTTATGGCATCACAGTATCAAGGTCAATGTTTTGCACAGAGTAGATGTTTGGCAAATATACTGCTTAGTGTTTTTAGTAATAAAGGTGTTGTGAACATGATGCAGTGTTTACTTGATGGAGAATTGTCTTTTGATATATATTCTCCGTGTTGTTTGAAAGATTTTACCCACTTAGAACTTTATTTTGCTTGTTGGTGTTTGTAGGGCAAACCATGGGACCATGGGTGCAGTGGGACTCACAGACAAGAAACAGTAGAGGAAAGCCAATCATGGGCAGAGGGTACAGGGCTCAGCTTCTTCTAGAATACTGAGAAGAGCAAGGTCTTATTCCATTCTGTAGTGTTGGAGTTGAAAAAACAGAAATGTGAGCATATTTTCCCCATTAAGCGTGACAGTAGCCCTTTTCTGTATATCCTGGCTTGGGCTTTGTTGGAAGGAGCAGCGCTGCCTCGGCGGCCAGGTCAACACCTAGAAGTGACTCAAGTCACTTTGGGCATCTGTCTCCTCCCAGACACCTGATAGTTTGTTCATGGGGCTGTTTGTATTGCTGGTAGAGATGACGCACAGGTGAGTGAGTGTTGGAGTTGAAGCAGCCATTGTTAACAGATGGCTACTAATCCGCTCTAGTATTGATTTAATAGATTAGTGTTTTCAGATTTCAGCCAGAGAGGGGAGCTGGACAAGGAAGTATTTCCTAAGGAGATAGTTTCCTTAACTCCAGCTGGATTTTGCATTCTTTTATCCAACAAAACTTCTTTTATTTTTGGTGAAAACTCTTATTTCAGTTAATGTCCTGTCCATGCTATAAGTGCTTTTGTTTATTCTGGTCCTTACTCCTGACCTTGTACTCACCTCTCTCTGGTGATTTTTGGTAAGAAGCAGAAATTTCTTTTTTTCCTGTTTTCCAATCCCTATTGTAGTTATCTGCAGGAGGGCCAAGTCATGATGCTGCAGCATATTGCTTATTGCCATTTAGTCCCAGTTCTAGCATTCTCCCCCTAAAAAACCACTTCCCACTATCACTAATGAAATTTTTGTATTTGTTCCCTAGCTGGCTGAATATAAGGTATAAGGGTGTTTACAGTATGTGAGAGAATGGTAATTTTTGACCTTCACAATTCTAAAATCTTTGTTTCATTATGTAATTCTTTTTCTTTGGAAATGCTTATAGGTGAGATGTAAAAGCAACATTGGTGTATTTCACAATTCTCTAAAGTTCTCAGTAGACATATCAGAACAGTTGCTAAATTTATCCAGTAAATTAAATTGATTAGATAACTGATAGATACATCTCTCTGGGGGAGATGTACAGGGGCATTTTTATTTTCTACTTTGTGGTTTTAAAAAGTTTAAAAATTTTTTCTACGTTAAGAACACATTGCTTTTATAAACTGGAAAAACTTTAATGAATACTATTTTTTTTCAGGTGAAATTTACATAACATAAAATTAACCATTTTAAAGTGAACAATTCAGTGGCATTTAGTACATTTACGATGTTTTGCAACCAGCTTCTCCGTCTAGTTCTATCATGTTTTAATTTTAAATTCAAACTACGTATATTTGAAAATTGTTATCATTTGTTGCATCCCAATGAGTAAATGTGATACTTTTCATAGTTTACTCCTCTGTTAAACATTTTGTGTTTTGTACCACATTAAGATACTACCCATTCAAAAAAATTTAAAAATTCAACCTTTTTGTTCTCTTTGAACTGGATTTTATTGCTATTGTATAGAATTTTCTTTTTAAGGCAAAACTGTTGAGATTAAACCATGAAAAGTATGACTAAAAATTCAAACTTTTGAAAGGTAAAAGATAGTTTCTTAACTATCTGTCCCAGCAAAATTTTGCTTGCCATTCAATGCTTATGACTCTCTTTCTACCCACTGATATTATCTGGCCATATGATGGATGAATAAAGCATTTTTGACTTCCTGGTAAACATGATCTAGTCTTTTGGATTTTAAATTTAAATTTAAGTGTAAATTTAAATTCTGATTGCAGTTGTATATAAAGGCATTATATTAAGCTTGTAAGATTTCTGGGAAGCTTTGCAGTTAACAGAAGAACAAATGATGGCAATTTTACTTTTGGTTGATGACATTTGACTGGTGGGTGTAGAATCTTCAGGGTTGACCTCCATGATGGATATCTTTGTGTTTCATGTAGTCACTCTTAACTGTCTTTGCAGCGAGGCTCTCTTCTTAGTGAGCCTGCAATCCAGGTGAGAAGAAAAGGAAAAGGAAAGCAGATTTGGTCTTTGGAGAAACTGGACAATAGGTTGTTGGATATGAGAGACCTTTATCAGGAGTGGAAAGAGTGTGAAGAAGATACCCCAGTAAGTTATTTGAAAAAAATTACTTAACTGGTAGTCATAGAAGGAACCAAATAGGAATGAGCCCACCTATTTCAGGGAAGAATTGTTCATTTTTCCAAAATAGTAATCCTGTTTCTAGAATAATTATTTTAATCCTCTAAATTGTTTAGCTAATCAATAATTTTAATAACCTATTTTTCAGGCGTCTTCTTTTTTTTTAGCTGAGAAAGATTCACCCTGGGCTAACCTCTGTTGCCAATCCTCCTGTTTTTGCTTGAGGAAGATTCGCCCTAAGCTAACATCTGTGCCAGTCTTCCTCTATTTTGTATGTGGGTCGCTGACACCACATGGCCGCCAATGAGTGGTGTAGGTCCATGCCTGGGAACCGAACCCGGGCGGCTGAAGCAGAGTGCGCCGAACTTAACCACTAGGCCATGGAGCCGGCCCCTCTTCTCCTCTTTTTTTGTTCTCTGGATTTCTAGTAGAATCTTCTACATTCCATTCTGACTTCTGTTGGTGTACATGTGTCTGTCTCCTGTCCTGGACTGTGAATTTATTTAGGACAGAGACCATGCCTTATTATCACTCTTCCCATTTCTCAACACATTTAACTTTGGAAATAATAAACCTACAGTATCTGTTTTTTGAATTGACCATCAGTGGTATCTTAATATTTATACTATAAGGAAACATTTTTGAAGGAGTTTTGATCCTAAAGTGAGTGCCATAGATCTGTACTCTCTCTGGTACTCTTTCCTCAAATTGCAGGTTTTCTCATTTAGGTCAGCTGTGTACTTGTACATATGTAAAATAGAAATATGTACTATGTATATTTTTATATATTTTCAACACTGCTGGTCCTGTTTCCACTTAGAGTTGTTTACTTCCTTAGCCTCTTGTTTTGTAAAAATATTGATTTTTCCCCATTGTCATCAATAAAAATGACTTCTTAGATGATATGTTTTTCTTAAAAACTTTTTTTTCATTTTCTTCTGTATTCTTCTCCTATTTCCACTTAGAAATGACACAACATTAATAACAAATACAAAAAAAAACAGACCACTCTCCTATAAGGACATCACTCTCATTGGCAGCAGCATATCTAATGATTTGATAGGAACAAGTGGAATAGATATGAATGAAAAATGAAGAGTACTTTCATACACTCTTCTTCCCCTTTTCTTGTCAACATGTGTTGTTTTTCTATTTTCGTGGCAAGATTTCCACATAAAGGAGAAGAAATGATAAAAGTAATGACGTATTATTGGAATTGCTCTCATGGGTGAAGGATGGTGATCACCATTCTAAATGGGAATGAGGAAGAGTGTGTGTGTGTATGTAATGCAGTGCTGTGCTTCAACTAAGTTTAATCACTTTGAGTGCATCAAAAAATGGTAGGTTGAATTCTTTTATTTTAAGTGATTTTCTGAGGTTTTATGTTCTGAATCTTTTAAAAGGTAATACGGTCTTACTTCAAGCGTGCTGATCCGTTCTATGATGAACAGGAAAATCATAGTCTCATTGGAGTAGCTAATGTCTTCCTTGAATCCCTCTTCTATGATGTGAAGTTACAGTATGCTGTTCCAATTGTCAACCAGAAAGGAGAGGTTAGTTTTCTCTTCGTGTCTTGTATCCTGCAGAGAACAGTTCAAGAAATAGTAGGGTGGTGATATTGTTGTTACTATTTTTCTTAAGTAATGACAATCAATATTTATGTGTATTATTAATACCTGTGTCCCATAGTGCATTATGGTAATTATTCTCAGTACTGTGTGGGAAGGTAACATTAGAACCTAGCCTTCTAAATTCTCATATACCATTAACCTAGCCGCTTGACTCTGAAACAGAAATTCCTCCCAATGTTCTAGGTGGCAGGTCGGCTGCATGTAGAGGTGATGCGAATCAGCGGTGACGTTGGGGAAAGAATTGCCGGAGGTGACGATCCCACAGAGATCTCCCTTGATAAGGAAACCCAGGAGAACAAACTTGTATGCATGGTAAGTCCCAGTGTCATTTAGAAGTAGAAGTGAGGCTGATTTTGAGGATTGTGGGTATTTAGACAATAAATATTGTGTTCTATTTTGAATTTCAAAAATACCTGTCTCTAAGTAAATTTTTAGTATTTGCTATTCTAGAGACCATATTTCATCATATATCCTGATGTACCGGTTAGGCAGGTACTTCCACTGTCTTCCTCTGTGAAGCTTTGGATAAGTCACCTCTTTCCTCTAGTCTGTTCAGCTCCAAAACTGTATGAATTAATTTTATCTGAACTTCTCTATGGACAAGCCCAGTTTTTTTCACACAAATTTCCTCCTCCTTTTGGGCCTCTTGTTTCCTGCTGGTGCTCTAGATTTATCCTAGCCCTGGTCCTCTTCCTAAGCTCCTGCCATAAGTTACTCTTCACACCTTTTTCCACATGTTCTTTGTTCCTCTTCATTCATGTGCCTTAGCTTATGCTATTCCATCATGCCGTAATCCCAAACTCTTTTCTTTCTGCTCTTCCCATTCATGCCATTCATGAACTGTGTGTTGAGTGTTATCTGTCAGACATTGTGCCAGATGCTGGGAATATAAAAATGAATAAGACAGGATTTCTACTCTCCAAGAGCAACCTGTGTAGTGTATTGTCTGTTTTGGGGAACACACAAGTGAACAGAAGACTCCAATTTTGTGTGACCCAAGTGATCTGAGAGAGGTAGACAAGAGATGTTCTGGGACACCGAGGAAAGATAATTAATTCAGATAGTAAGGTCTGAGGAAAATTTCTGGAAAAATGAGATTCAGAGTCAACTTGAAGGAGAGTGTGTTATGTAAAACTCTTTCTCCATAGGGTGCTGTGGTATTTTCACAGATAATTGCTAGGTAGATGTTAGGTAGGTCATTACTTTCCTGGATATCTAACCAATCAGCATAGATAGTAACATCTCTGTCACTCATTTTGACAATGAAAAAATCCTCTCATACATTTCCAAACACACTCTAGTGGGCCGGTATGCCTTTGGTTGAGAATCACTGTAGGAGCCAGTTAAAAGGTTTTTGAGGAACAGTGTATGAGTGAGAAGGAGGCCATTAAAAGGTGAAACGAAGGAAGCCTAAACTTAACTCTTATTTCATAATCCAATCTAGGTCCAGTCCTAGTAATTTTCTCAGTAAATATACTAGAATTGAAGTTGGTATTGAAAGGAATAAGTTAGGCATTAGCTGCAAGATATGAGGAAGCTAAAGCTGTTAAAGAGTTGGGCTGCTTTCTGTAGGTCTTTGCATATACTAAGAAGGCCTCAGATGTCTAAGTCAATTAGTTCATTATGAGGGGGGAAGACTCTTAATTCACTAAAAGATTAATCTTTATTGTGTTGTCCTTGATTTCAGAACTTTTCCTTTGAGGTTATAGTATTATCAAAGATGGAGACATAGGCTTGATGACTCCATAATAGCCCATTTTAAAGGTGATGGACTAGTAAAAGCAATTGTGTGAAAGATCAACTGTGTGAAAGTTTACCATTAGTAAAGTAACGTACAAAGATACCATCTCACTTGGGAGATTTATCTTTAAAACTGGAAAAAAGTAGTATATCCTGGGTAACATGAGTCTTTTTAAAAAAAAAAATGAAGTTAATATATCTTAAGATGTTTTTAATAGACGGTATCAAACATATATAAACGTAGTGAGAAAAGTATTATTGATCCCCATTCACCCTCCTTCCACAGTCATCAACTTATCTTGTTTTAGTCGTACACCCAAGCCATTTCTGTGCTGTCCCCTCCCCTTGAATTATTTTGAAGCAATCCCAGACATCATATTTCATCTATAAATAGTTTAGTATGTCTCCAAAAGAAGAGTACTAAAAAACCCCCAACATAACCATAATATCATAATCAAAAAGTAATACTTTCTTAATGTCATGAAGTATCCAGTCGATCTTCTTGATTGTCTTGGGTGGTGTGTCCCTCAGGTCTATTTTAATCTTTAGGTTCTAGCACTTGCACTCCTGCTCACGTGCACACCCACTCTTTCTCCCTCTCTTCCTCTCTATCATACATGCACACTCTCTTGCATGCACACATTCTGTTTTTCATTCTCTCTTACCATACAATTTATTTATTGTAGAAACTGGATCATTGTCTTGTATTTTCTCATAGTCTTGATTTTGCTGATTCGTATTATTTAACATGTTAAGATGTATTTTCTCTAAATTGGTAGTTAGGTATAAATAGAGGTGGTATATGGGAGAGGAAGAGTAGCAAGGATACTTTATAGGTGGGGATGTGTTCTTCCATCAGAAGGCACACTATCTCTGGTTCTCTTTTAGGGATGTTAGCAATCATTGATGATTATTACCTAGATATTTCATTTAGGGGTTAGAAAAGAATGATACTATAGTTCTGTCTTCCCTTCATTTATTAGCTGAAATTTTTCTATAGAGAGAATCTTCCATTATCAACTATTTTGTTATTCAGAGAATAAAGTTTTTATAGGAAAGGCAAGGTAAATGCTGCATGCTTTCCCTTTATTTACTAATTTTCAAAATAATAAACTGATTTTCCTACTAATATCCAAAAGTGACCAGTGAGATTTTCTTAGTCTTAGTATCATTATGAACTCTTGGATTTAAATGTATTTGATATGTGTCGATCCATTGTATTTATTACCTATATTGAAGCTCCACTGATCCCATCTTCAGTTGGCTCCTCAGTCCTTTTGACACAACCATAACACTCATAGACTGTGGTAGCTTTCTTGCTTTCTGGTGTGATGAATATTCTGGTCTCATCCTGTACATTTCCTGTCCCAGACCTGAAATCAGCCATGTCTCCAAGGAACTGATTCCTTTCTGTCGGAAGTAGTTTTTAGAGACTGTATGCTGCATATGAGATAGCCTTTTGTGTAAAAGAGGGGAGGCAAATAAACTATGACAATAGACAAAATATGGGTGGAAAAAACAAGGGAAACCAGTCTGGGGACACTTAAGATGTCATGGTGATGACTATGGCTGGCCCATAAAAGAAGTCTACATTTATTTTTCTGTGATAAAAAAATTATACACATATTAACATGTTAGTATTTTTAATCACGTTAAATAGAGTTAGTATATTTTAAAATCCCAAACAACATCAGTGTCTTCTGATATTTCTGGGCTCTAGTATCTTGAGCAAGTTAAAGTCTATGGTATTCTGACACCTTGTGGTGATTTTGGTTTTTGTATATAAAAACTAAAAAAAAACTGAAAACAAAAAATTACCTGTGCTCTAGATATCAAGATATTCCTCATTCCTGATGTTCTTCATTCCTGGCAGTCTCATTCCTGGGAAGTTGCCTGTAGGGGAGAGTTCAGCATATGAAACCTTGCTTTCTTGTTTGTTTATTTCAACCTTAAAATTGAGATTTATTTCTAAGAAAAAAAATTTGGCTTTCAGGTGAAATTCAATTACAAAAAAGTATACATTGAACATCTATCCACTCAATGCCTGGTAGTGTTTTCATTCATTTCATTGGTATGGTCAGTCTTCACACTGGTATCATTAGGTAGCTATCCTGTTTTGCACAGAAGAAAACTAAGCCTAAGAAAACTAAGAATTAAAGTAATTTGCTCAAACAGAAGTTAATAAGTGGCAGAGATTTTTATTTAGATCTATGTACTCCAAAATCTTGTAATCTTCCCAAATACCACATTGCCTTACCTTACGGATTATGATAAGCATTTTAAAACACTTAATGAAAAAGTGATGGTTTTTAAAACATGAGGAAAATTAATTGCTGAACACTGATTGCTCTATTTGGCTTGGACATATAAAATGTAAGTCAGGCTGCCTTTCATAGCCTGTCAGGGAATTGCTATCTGGATATTTCAAACTCTTGTTGGATCACAAGAAAAAATGAATAATAATAGGAGTTCCTATCCTTTGCTTACCCGTTATGTGTCTGGTATAGAGGAAAATAAAGTCATCTTCTTTGTGTGATTTTCTGTGTCGTTATGCTTCCTGAAACATTGAGACTATTATGTTTGTGGTTGCTGAACTACATCAACTTCTGCCGCAGATTCAAATCTATTTTTGTTAAATTTATTTACTGAGGTAGAGTGCATCATACAACATGCAGGAAGTGACCAGGTGAAGAATATAATAATTGATCAATGCTCAGTCGTATGAAAGTTGGCCTCATCGATTATAAAATCAGAATTTAGTTTGCTTAATTAATTCTAGGATTTAGTTTCCTTCATAGTTGGAGGAATTTTAGAATATTATAACTAATATTATATTAGAATAATTATCACAAAACCTCCAGCTTAAAAGTCAACCTGATGCTGCCTGCCGAAAGAAAGAATTAGACTGGCTGCTTTAATATCTAGTATAGGCATTTCTTCTGGGGCATTTGGGTCTGATTAGACATTTATTTCTGATCACATGTTGTTATCACAAAACCCTTCAGTCCCACAGTCCGGGGCACATTTCCTTTGATTGGCGTCTCTTCCCTAAATCTGCAGGGAGAAGGCATTCAGTAAATGTTGGGGCAGAGACTGGGCAACATTCACTGTCTTTAATCTCCTCCCTTCATCCCTCCACATCTTCAAAGTATATCCGTTGATGATGCTTTTCAAGTTTTCCAAAAAAATGCTCTAGTAGCGTGTAACATTCTACTTGAGAACTTTGTGCCTTTTTATACTTTAAAATATCAAAAAAATGTTTTTTGTCCTTTCCTGAAAATTTATTACTTATTGCCACATACACTGATTTTGTTCTTCGTTCATCATTCTTAGCAATCTGTGTCCTTATGGCATATCCATAGTTAGCCAAATTCGTATCATTGAATGATATTGATGTTTGGGAACTTTTTTCTTCTGAGTTGATTATTATTATTATTATAGTATGATGATAATGATGGTGATGTCATAAGAAACTAATGTTCTTCATCAGCCTGTAAATGCTTTAAAATTTTCACCTTTATAGTCAAGGTTGTTGCCACGCTGTGTCAACCTCTTGCTAGGTATGACAGTTGTTGTCACCATCTTACAGATGCAGAAATACAGCCCAGAGTAAGTGGGATTTGGTCAACATAAACCCACAGTTAGTGATAGAGTCAGGACTGGAGCCCATATCTCTGACTCAAAGTACTTCTTAGAACTTTCTGAGTTAAAATCAAACAGAGCCCTCTTTTTCCTTCAGGTTAAAATACTCCAAGCTACTGGGTTGCCACAGCATCTGTCCCACTTTGTATTCTGCAAATACAACTTCTGGGATCAGCAGGAGCCAGTAATTGTTGCACCCGAAGTGGATACCTCGTCCTCTCCTGTCAGCAAGGAACCTCAGTGCATGGTTGTCTTTGATCATTGCAATGTAAGTTTGTTTTCCAGACTTGGTCAGTGTTTAATTACTCAGGTAAAAACAAAACAAAAAAATGGACCTTATTTTGTTGAATACTTTGGTATCCATATATGTCTTGGATCAGAGTTTCTTAGAGTGGGGTTGGAGTCAAAAACTAAAGTGTTATTAACACTTTATACACCTCAAACTTATGCAATGTTATACGACAATTGTATCTCAGTAAAGATGGGGAAAAAAAAAACTAGTGTCAGTGCATTTAACTCCTACAATCAGAAGTTAACTGTTGTGTGACTATATATATGTGCTCTTCTCCAAAAGGAATCCATGTTTTGTGTTAGATTACTGGAGAAGTTGTCATCTAAAAAGGTTAAGAAACTAGTGTTTTAGAAAGAACTGACTTTATTGAGCACCTACTGCTCTGCTAAGCCTTTCTTTTGTTCTTTCATTTGCTCTTTACCACAACTGGGTTTGATTATAGTGCTTTATCGCAGCAGAAGAAACCAGTTCAGAGAGGTCAGTACGCCTATGGCTGGTGGCTAGCAGAGCTGGGATTGGAGCCAGGACTGTCAGATTCTGAGTTCTGGTTTCTACTGCGCCGTACTTGATTGATCTCATTTTTGTCAAGAGAGAGGTCTCTTTCTAATCTGTTTAAAACATAAATACGTTTAGTGTGTTAAAGATTGAGAGAGAGAGAGAAAGAGAGCAGAGATTCTATGACTTTTTAAAATAAACTCTTTCAGAGCTTAATCCAGATTATTGCACAATGCCGTCTTAGATGTATCTTTTAAAGGTGGACAGGTTGGGAGAATTTTTAAAACTTAGGTGATTTTTTGCACTGATGATCATTATTCATTTCCTTTCTCTTCTATTATGAGACATAGTTAGCTTCCTAAAAACTGAAAAATTGTTTTTCCAACACAATGCTACCTTATTGCGTGTAATAACTTTTATGTCAAGACATTGTAGATCATTGTTTTAATTCTTAATGTAATTATTTGTACTTTAAAAAATAGCTCCCAATGTATTGCTAACAAAATAGAGTACAATGTTGCTCTTTCACAGTAAATTTTTAAGGTGGAGAGTTTTTTAAAAATCAGAGTTATAGTTACTTTTAAAATCAAGAACCTTAGACCATCTGAGCATTCATTATGGGTGTTAGATGACAGTTCTGTTCTATAACTAAAACATTCTTTTTTATTTCTCTTCTCCATGATGAGATGGAGAAGTATATGATGTCAAGTGTAAATAATCGTAAGGTTACCAGAAAATGCTTCCTTTTCTCTAATTATTTTCTTTCAGGAGTTTTCTGTTAACATCACTGAAGACTTTATTGAGCATCTTTCAGAAGGGGCATTGGCGATTGAAGTATATGGCCATAAGATGAATGATCCTCGGAAAAACCCAGCCCTCTGGGATTTGGGGATTATCCAAGCAAAAACACGTACTCTTCGGGACAGGTGAATTTTAGATATTCATCTGATTCCATTTATAATTTTTAAAAATTGCTAGAGGTTAATACTGCCATTTATAAAGGGGACTCTTTCCTGAGCTTCCCCAGTATTCCAGGGATAGATGGTGGTGTTTCCAGGGTATTAATAGCAGGGCTAAACTTCCTTAGAGGAGTTAACTTTGAAGAGTGAAGGAAGGAAGTTAAGAATAAAGAATGAAATGAATTTTTAGAGAGTAGATTGCTTATCATTATGAATTACTTTTAGTTAATCAGCTGTAGAGAGTATATCAAGATATACTCTAGAATTCAGGTTTACTTATTTTTGTCTTTAGCTCAGTTCTTGTTGAGTGGCCTCAGTGATGAAGGAGGCAGGCTTATTTGTTGATCAGGATTTTAAAAAGAAGAGTTAAAAGGAAATGACTGAAAGAGTATATATTTATATTTTTCATCTAACTATAGATGAGAACCAGATTTTCTTTTATCTTTTTTTGCATTTAGAATGTTTTAGCAAATACTGAATTAAGTGTTGAGATTTTTTTGTTGATTCCCCTACTGACCTGAGCAAAAGATACCTGTCAAGTCACTAAAGCATCCAGCTCCCTTTATCTATGAAAAGAGAATCACTGTACTTGCTTCTGTACATCTGATTACAATGTTTAGATTTTTGAATAACCACTTTAAAATAGACTTGTAATTATCATAGCTTTTTGAACTAAATAAAGGAGCCATTTCTAGTTTTGATATTAAGTTTAACTTTGCTTTTAATTATATTTGCTAGTACGTACTTATATATTACTCATTGACCTACAGATCCTTCTACTGAGTTATTCTGTTTGGAGGTCATTATCATTGTTAATTCTCATGTGTAGTATCCTAAGCTGCCTGTATTGAAATAGAAATGTATGATTTTCCAAGAATTTCAACTATTTCCTAGATGGAGTGAAGTCACCAGGAAAGTGGAATTCTGGGTTCAAATCTTAGAGCAGAATGAGAACGGTGAATACTGCCCTGTTGAAGTAATTTCTGCAAAGGATGTGCCAACAGGAGGAATCTTCCAACTCCGGCAGGTAACAGAATTGTGAATGTTATTCTGAATGTTAACATATAATTCTTTAGCACCGTAAAGCTCGATATTGGATTCCTTTTAGCAAAATGTCAGTGATAATGAAATCTAGTCTGGCCAAGTCCATTTCTTGTATTAAAATTATCAGTCTCCAGCCCCCCTCTCCTCTCTCCCTAAGGTTTTGGGATGGGGCTGAAAGTTCAAACTTCTAATCAAGCCTTGGTCTTTTCTGACGACCAGCCCCCATCCTGAAGCTGTCTAGGGGCCTGCCAAGAGTCACTAAATTAAAAGTCACATCATTAAAAGATGGGTCTATCACTGTTATCACTCAGGCAATTCCAAGAGTTTCAGGAGTTCTGTGCCAGGAACTGAGGATAAAGAACAAATATCTTTCTAAGATACCAGAAGGTGTTTAGTAAATGTAGCTAGGTAGATATAAATACCTGCCAGAAATCAATACAGCAGAGAAGTATGTGGGTCGCTGAACCGCAGGCAGATTGTGATCTGTAAAGTGTCTGCACTGCCAACTAAAGATGAGAGAGATTATCTTTTTTTTTTTTTTTTTTTGTGAGGAAGATCAGCCCTGAGCTAACATCTGTGCTAATCCTCCTCTTTTTGCTGAGGAAGACCGGCTCTGAGCTAACATCTATTGCCAATCCTCCTCCTTTTTGTCCCCCAAAGCCCCAGGAGATAGTTGTATGTCGTAGTTGCACATCCTTCTAGTTGCTGTATGTGGGACGCGGCCTCAGCGTGGCCGGAGAAGTGGTGCGTCAGTGCGTGCCCGGGATCTGAACCCGGGCCGCCAGCAGCGGAGCGCACGCACTTAACTGCCACGGGGCTGGCCCAAGAGAGAGATTATCTTAATAGAATTTACATATAAGATTTGGAGATACTCTTTTTTGCTATATCTTGGATTAATTCAATGTTTAGTAGAATATTGTATCCCATGATAGTTTCCATATTTTAGAACAATAGTAAAAGAATAGCTCTAGAAAATGAATGTTGAAATGATTCAAAACAAAATATGAAAAAAAGTTAAAAAAAAGTTTGCTTAAATACTAAAGTCTCTGAATGTTTTAGGAGGAGAAAGATGATAAGCACTTGTCCTCTGACCCCAGCAAATGAATTTTAGCAAATTCATTCATTTATGGAGAAAGAACTAACAGCAAAAGGAAATTAGTTTAAATTATAGCATGAGATCTATACATAAAATAGGATTCTTAAGAATGTGAATAACATCTTTTTCTGAACATCTGTTAAAACTATATATATCTTCTTTGGATGCCTTAGCAATTCATCTCCTGGAGGGCAAGAGTAGATAATTTTCTGTGGTTTAGTGTAAATTGAATATTTAAGTATTTGTCATACTTTTGACAGTGCTCTTGTCCTGGATGCTGAAAGAATCATGCAAAGGCTGGAAAGGTTTTTCATACATAAATGGCAAGAATAAAGATACAGACGTTGGGATTAGGTAACTTTGGGTAGAAAGTAACATGTAGGAAGAGCTGGAAAGCAGTAACGGAAGAGCTTATAGAAGCATATGGCGGCTAGTTCACAGAGGGCCTTGGATGCTAGTCTCATTTGAATTTAATATATTCCAAAATTGGAGCCTATTGTTCTTGAACAAGAAAGTGGCAGAGGAAAACTGATTAAGTTAACCATATGAAATTGCTGGTTTTGTAGTTAAAAAATAGTCAAGTACCAGCAGTTACAAGAAAGTCAATCTGGGCCGGCCCCGTGGCTCAGCGGTTAAGTGCGCGCGCTCCGCTGCTGGCGGCCCGGGTTCAGATCCTGGGCACGCACCGACGCACCGCTTCTCCGGCCACGCTGAGGCCGCGTCCCACATACATCAACTAGAAGGATGTGCAACTAACGACATACAACTATCTACTGGGGCTTTGGGGGAAAAAAAATAAATAAAATCTTTAAAAAAAAAAAAAAAAAAGGAAAGTCAATCTAATAGTTAAAGATTTTCTGTGGAACATTAAGCCATTCCTGGATCTTTTCCCTCCTTTTCTTCCCTTTCCTTATCTTGAATCCTCCCCCAAAGTATATGTACGTAACCCTTCTCATTTGGGCACACATTCAACATAGGTTATTTTCTGTCTTAGGCAAAGTAACCAAAACAAAATGTAGGTAATTGGGATGACTAAATTGTCTTAGACAATTAAAATATTTTCTGAGGTACTCTTTCCACAAAATATCTGATGGATAGTCCTTGGAAAATATTAAATCAGAAGACATCTGTAACCCATCTCTTCAAATCTAGCTTGATAGGATCAATCATTGACTAAGTTGATTTTCCTGATGATATAAAGCTCTTGGGAATTAAAATCTGATGGAAGAGGGGAAGTGTAACTGACTTCGAATTGTATATTCAAATTTTATTTTTCAGATTCTATTTTTCAAATTCTATTTTACATTCCTAAAATTTATAAACCAACTTTGAAGTTAGCAAGTTGGGAATACTGGAAATTTTTTTTTTAATATTACTTCATTGTATATATTCAAAGTCACATAGTATTTATTCTGAAAATGTGCTTAAGAAGAAACAGCTTCTCTCTGATCAATTCTTCATTTTGCAGTTTGGTGTAAAATTATTTTATTTTGGAATTAGAGCAATGAATTCAGGATAGTAAGAATTATTATTTCTAACTCAGATTGCTTATTTTTAAAAGTAGATCATACTATATATTCTGGGTTCAGAATATATCATGTATGTTTTTCTACAGTAATATTTTAATGACTAGTAAGATTGCAGTGTAAGCAGTTATCAGTATTATACATTTAATTTGTATGTAATTTTTTTTGTTATTCTTAACATTGCTTTAAGATTCTTTATGTATATGTATGATTATTTGCCTTGAAAAGATTCCTAGAAAATTAGATTGCTGGGTCAAAGGATACTTACATTTTTAAAGCAAATTGCCCTTCAGAAAGCTTGTACCAATTTATATTCCTGCCAACAGTGTATGTAATTGCCTTTTTCATAAACTTCGGGCAATTTTGGGAATTGCCTTTTTAGAAGATAATTGCTGGTTTAGGAAGTGAAAATAAAGGTGTCTATGCTTATTTTAATTTGTATTTATTTGGTTATTAGTAAGTCGAACATTTTTTATTGTCCAGCTTTTTGCATTTCCTTTGTTAGAATGTTTTCTTTTTCTTGGAAAAATAGGTAAACCATATATTTGTTCTGTGTCTTTCCACTTGCTTTTAAAAGGTAAGTAATTTTTCCCGATTAGTTTTTCAATTTGTACGTTTAAGATATGGTGAGATAATGTGTCCAAAGTTCAACGTTTTTCTCAACATCAGCCTGTAGGGGTCTCTCTAAACCAAATTTTTGGAAATCAAACTGATTTTAAGAAACTCTTAAAATTGTCTGTGATACAGGGGCAGTCTCGGCGAGTCCAGGTGGAAGTGAAGTCTGTGCAGGAATCCGGGACTTTACCACTGATGGAAGAATGTATATTGTCTGTCGGCATTGGATGTGTAAAAATTAGACCACTCAGATCCCCCAAGACTCATGAGCCCTTCCATGTAAGTTTCTCTGCCTGTTATGTTCTTGTTGAAAGACCCAACCAGACAAGAGTCTTTTGGAACCCGTCAGAAAACTGCCTTCCACAAACGATTCTTTCAGTATTTCCTTTTGTTTTCCTTTGATGCCTTTTTTATTGTATTGCATTTTTGTAGAATCACTCCACCAAACTATTGGTTTTGCCCTGGTACATGGCAAACTGAGGGTTAAACCATCTCAGCCTTCAGAAGCTCTTCAGTACCTACTAGTGATTGCCTCCCCCATCACCCACCCTCTCTGTAGAAACCCCCTGCTGGCTTGTAAAGACTCTTTGCCAGCAGGTGTTTGATTTCCCCTGGGGAGTGGGACTATAAACTCAGCAGGGAAAGTATTGTACTGGTTCTCGAAAAGGTCAAATGAGTGTTCTTCACTTTACTATGAGAAGCTCAAGGTTTTACTCCAACTTCCTGAAAACTATAAAACCAAGACCGAGGGCTAGGGTAGGTGGGAGATGAAATTGTATATTCATTAAAGTAGAAAATATAAAGAATGGGTAAAGATTCAGATTGTTTAGTGTAGCTTGATTCTTGGATAGTTATTTTGGTTCTGCATAATGTATTTTTTCTTTTAGGAGGAAGAGGAGGACATGGACAGCTACCAGGTAATTAAGCACTTGTTAGCCTCATCAAATAAGCTTGATTAAAGTACTACTAAATTATACATTCTTGAGTCTCACTATACTGTTGCTTAATAATTACACAGTTAATTTTGATTAAAATATTGCTTTTTCTCAAATTAAAACAGAGTAGGGAACAATGAGTGTTTCATAGACTATAAAGTAAAATCTGTTTAGTGCAGGAAATTATTTGTGACTGTTATCCTTTTCCAAAGCTGGAGCTCCCCTTCCAGGTTCCCTACAGATCCATTTCTTTAGGTCTTCTTTTTTGCACCTTTTCTCTCCTTGAGTGGATCACCCACCCTTTCTCCCATAAGAGTTGTCTCATCCTGATCTTCAGTCAAGCCCAGCCCCTAGATATTGTCCATATTTTAAGCCAGGTCTCCCTTCCCCACTTCCTGGAGTCATCCAGGTTTGGTTTTGGTTTTTTCCCCACTTTTCCTAGTCTCCTGCAAGATTTTGTTTATGTCTGTGAAGTCTTATCTTGTTAGTCATTGTTTTAGGACTGTCAGAGCTCTTTGGATCCTGATTATGTCATCCACTGTAGTCACTCTCCTGGTTTTGCATCATTCTAATTTGATAAAAATGTCTGCCTTCCTATAAGTCACTGATAAAAATGTTGTATCAGATAGGGTTAAATACAGAGTCCTATGGCACAACAATAGAGACTTCTTTTAAGCTGACATTAATCACTGTTCTTTGGATGTGATATTTCAGTCATTTATGATTTCATTCAAGTAGATCCATTGCACATTTCTCCATCTTGTCCACAAGAATGTCACGAGCTATTTGGTTAAGTGCTTTAGTGAAATCCAGATACACACTGTCCCTAGCATTCCACTGATCTACCCAGTCTTGTAACTTCATTACAAAGGGAAATGAGGTCTGACTGGCACGCAGTCAGGTGTTTACTGGGAGAGCTGTTAGTCTGTTGATAATGCCCCCTCCTCCCTGTCCCATCCTCCCCCTCCTTAAAAAAAAACCCTCAGAAACAAGGGAGAGAAGCATTTATGTATTGTTGTAGAGACGAGCAAAACATGTTGAAGGCAGTAGTTAAGAAATTTGAAGACTTCTTATGATAGTTTTAAGGGATATAAATTTGAAGATTATTATTTGTGACTTTTATCCAGCAAAGAGACCTTGTAGAAGATCTTAGTTGCAAGTGCTTGGAGTTCTACCCCTTGAGCCAATAGAAATGAAACTGGTTCTGGGTATCAGAGAATGCCCTTTCAGAAACAGTCTTACTCTAGAACAGTTGTGCTTTAATTTCTGAAAGTTTCTGTTCTGAGTCATGGTTGGAGTCAACTAGTGGTAGTAATAAAGACATTAGTGTATAATACTTTACGTTTTCAAAGCATAGTAGGGTAAGGTAAGATAGAGCATTGGTTTCAGATATATTGTCTTGACATTCTATTTACTATAATTTCCCTTGTTTTCTTCCAGGATCGGGATTTAGAAAGACTGCGTAGAAAATGGCTAAATGTACTGACCAAACGTCAGGAGTACTTAGATCAGCAATTGCAAAAGCTCGTCAGTAAACATGGTAGGAAGAGCAGTTTGAATATTTCCTTACCCCCAAATCAGTGCATAGTTAATCTCCATTTGCCGCCACATAACTTAGAAGTAGATGAACACATCAGTAATGGGGTCAACAGGAGTGTAGGAGTGTTACTTATTTGTGTCATATCCTTTCAAAGGAACATTTATCCAATTGTAATGATGTCTTTGCCTAGGTCCCCCCCCCAAACAAGAAAAGAAAACATAGTACGTAAAGTAAATATTGTCCCTCAAAAATAACTTAAGGAAGGGTACTAACATTTCTTGATTTCTTGTCTAAAAATACTTGAATCCTCTGACTCTGGAAGAAATCATTCAATTGCTGTTCCACTGTAGGCCTTCCGTGAACTGAAGATGGCCTCTGGAATGTACACCAGCCTCTCTAGCTTATAGTTAGTTTTTTATCATGAGTTTTTTATCATTAATTCGGGAAGTAATGTTCCTAGTGAACCCTCAGTAATTGAAATACAGGCAATTCCTGTTGATATGCAGGACAAAAATACAAATAGCAAGTGAGATATCTGTATTTGATCCTCATGTCTGATGTTCTAGATAAAACAGAGGATGATGCTGACCGTGAAGCTCAACTTCTAGAGATGAGGTTGACGCTAACTGAGGAGAGGAATGCAGTGATGGTCCCCTCTGCTGGCAGTGGGATTCCAGGGGCCCCAGCAGAATGGTATGAATGCTGCCATGTGTCTTCTGAAGTTCTAAATGCTCACTAAGCTGCCTGCTTTCTATGAATTTTGCCTGTGCTTCAATTAATAGCAGACTTAGCATATGGGAAAAAGTTGTTTGAATTAGAGGAAGAGTTAAATTATTTTCATGAATTAGAATAACTCTGGCTTAAAACTGTGTTTTAGGCAATAATATTGTTATTGGCCCAAGTAACTAAGATTTCTGAGAATCTAAATCAATATTTAGTACCACTGCACTTAGCATTTAAAAAAATAATTAATATGTTAATTACTTGGGTCATTCCCTTAAAAGACCATTTGGTCATAATAAAACTGCATGTCCAGGAGTTTTTGGTTTTGGTGCTGGCTTAAACTGTACTGTCAGCAAATGTTCTGTGCCACTTTAGAGAAATTAAAAATAGTAAATTATGCCACATGGGGCTCTTAGGTATATCATTTTATAAGAAAGTAAGTTTAAACAAGAGAGCTTCAATTATGAGCAGGTATATGTGTCTTAGACTGAGTTCTAGTAGCAGAGCATATGATAATTACATGTGACAGCACTAGTGAAGAGAAGCAGCGGTTACAGTCAAGTCCTTGTGGCCTCTCTAATGTGAAATTATAGCAAACCCAATACCCAGAGTTATTACTGGCTTGACCTATAATAGTTCTGAATGTTCATTAAGGCTATGTTGTGAAGTCCATGCTGCTGAGAAAGTCTGCCTTAATTGAGATGCCATTTGTTCTTTATGTTTTAGGACCCCAGTTCCTGGGATGGAAACACACATTCCTGTTATATTCCTTGACTTAAATGGTAAGTTAGGAGGTGCTTTCTGAAGGCTTACCTCTGACGAATTAGTGTCTAAGTAACACTTAGATTCTAGCAAAGTGTGCAGTTAGGCAAGTCTATAAGCCTATGCTTAGGGTCCATTTTATGTGTGCCAGAGGACTCTGATACTCAACAAACAATGAATTTTCTGTAAGAATAATATATTTTAACAGTAATAGGTATGTTTCACCATAATGTGTTCTCACATTTCGTTCTGTGACTCATACTGCTATGTGTATGCTTTGTTCTCCCATCAATTTAGGGTGGTAGTAATGTTTTCCTGTAGTTAAAATATTTTCTTCTTTAATTCTTAGGAAAAGACTTCTCTCTGGAAAGGACTAATAACTAGTGATGCTTATATAGCATGTTTTCTTTCATCTGGTGTTTTCTTAGCATTACTGAATAAATTTCTCACTTTTTCTATGAGTTCTTATCCCTGCATTGCCTATTTTTTAAAAATAACTGTCATTTTTTCCTGACTTTTTTCCCCTCCTGTAAAATATTTTGGATATGGCTACATTTTACATATACTCTGTCTGAGGAGGGAAAATAAAAATGAAAAGGTAGATTAAAGAGCTAAAAATAAGTTAAAAGCCAGCAGTTAAATTCCTAAAACATCTGCAGAAGAACTGTGTATTAAAATTAACTATCTTATATGACAACCAAGATGTCCTCCTTGGTTTTCTTCCCCTTAGCTGAAAGTGAGTTATAATATCTGAGGTATTTAACATCTTGTGCCACTTCGCTTATTTAGACATCTGGAAGATTTTTATATACACACAGAGTTAGAGAATAATACTTAGCCACTCCCACTGTCTGTCCACCTGGTCGGGGTTTAATGCATTGCCACAGCACTCTATCCTACCTTGTTCTCTTGGACTTTGGAGCCTGAGGGTGACTCTGGCTTATTCTTTTGTTAGGTTGCTAGATAGGTGTGTGTGTGTCTGTGTGTCTGTGTGTGTGTTTAGGAGGGTAAGAAAGTGGAAAAGAGTAAGCTTAAAGAAGACCTGTTAGTATGGATATTCTAAGACATGATCAGGACCTTATTCGGCTATAAACCTATTCTCGGTCCACCCAAGCCCACATACTAGAAAAGATACTTTTGATGCCTACTCACAAGCTTTAGATGGATAGGGAGTTGGGCGTACCAGGCCTGGAACTGAAGAACCAAAGGGCCACGGGGCAACCCTCTAGCTCATGTAGCCAGTTGATTCTTTTGTTGAACTTAATTGTCAGAAGATTGGAATCACTTTCACTTCTTGTTTCTTCAGTGCACTAAAAGATAGGGAATTTGGATTGTAATCCTGTCATTGACATTTATGGGCTGACCTTGAGTACCCTTTTGGGTATCTTGGCTACAGTTGCCTTGTATGTAAAATAAGGCATAAATAAGGAGATGAGATAAGATGATTTCTTGAGGCACTTTCCATTGCTAAGGTCTGTGACCTGTTTCATGGTCATTGTCCAACTCATGTAAGATTTTAGAGCCAAAAGCAAATGAAATTTGAGGCAGAAGAATTTAATACTAAGCACATTGAAATTTAGCTGGTAGGGGTTATCCTTTAAAATGACCTCCCTGTTTAATGGAACTTCTTTGCTTTTAGCTGATGATTTCAGCTCTCAGGATAATCTTGATGACCCAGAAGCTGGTGGATGGGATGCTACCCTTAGCGGGGAAGAAGAGGACGAGTTCTTTGAACTGCAGATTGTAAAACAGCATGATGGAGAGGTAAATAAAGCATAACTGGGGAAGATCAGAGGAAAAGTAGATTCTGTAACCTTTCCATGAGCCTTTTGAAACAATCAGCAAGGTAATCATTTCAGTGCTTAGACTTTTCAAGAAATATAAATGAAAACCTTTCATTAGGACTTCCAGAAGAAGTGGACCATCAAATTATATCCATTCACTGTTTTTACTTCCTCTTCTGGTAAAGGGTCTCTGTTAGGACTCATAGTTCAGGTCAGCGGTGGCCCACTCTCTAGGGAAGTGCCAGTGACGTACATAGAGTAAAATGACGCAGTGTTTGGGATTTGCTTTGAAATTCTTTAGTAAGGACTTTTAAAGAGGGAAAGAAAGAGTAGGTGAAGCCAGTGTGACAAAATCTTGATAATGTTTGAATCTGAGCGATGGGTATACAGTAGGGGCTTATTTTCTAATTTTGAGTATATTGGTAAAATATTTTAAAGAAGGAAAGCTGATGTGATGCTTTGAAGGACACATCATTGCTTAGTGGTATTCCTAAGATGGAAATCTTGAAGCTAATAGTGGAGAAACAATCAGACAAACTCAGTTGGGTCCATTCTGTAAAACGGTGGGCCTATACCTTCTTTAATAAGTCAGTGTCATGAGTGACAAAAAAAGGCAAGGAAACCATTCCAGATTAAAGTAGACTAAAGGGACATGACAACTAAATGCAGTTTGTGATACTGGATTGGAACAATTGAAAAATGTTAATGTGGACTCTATATTATATAGTAGTCTTATATTGATGTTAAATTTCCTGAACGTGATAATTGTCCTTTGGTTAAGTCAGAGGATATCCTTGCTCTTAGAGGATACTTGCTGAAGTATTTAGGGATGTAGAGTTATATGTCTGTACCTTACTCTAAAGTGGTTCAGTAAAAAAAAATAATCTGTGTGTGTATGTGTTGTGAGAGAGAGAAAGGAAAAGTGGCAAAATGTTAACAGTTGATGAATCTAGATGAACGAGATACAGTTAATTGTACTGAATTTGCAACTTTTCTTTATGTTTGAGCATTTTTTCAAAATAAAAAAATTTCAAAACCAGCCAGCCAGGAACATTATGCTCTGTACTCCAGACTAGGATGATTGAGGCCACATCCTCACATTCCATAGTCTTTGAGGGCAGTTCGCCTGGTAGAGCAGCACACATGACTGGCGTGTACCACTTCAGCCTAAGCCAAGATGTGTCCTTGTGAGCTGTTTTGTTTTTAGGAGGAGACAGAAAAGTATGTTCTTTCTGTCTTCTCTGCAGGTGAAAGCAGAAGCCTCTTGGGACTCTGCGGTACACAGTTGTCCTCAGCTCAGTAAAGGCACGCCTGCGGATGAGCGAGTGTTTCTAATTGTGCGGGTGACGGTCCAGCTCAGCCATCCGGCTGACATGCAGCTGGTTTTACGGAAACGAATTTGTGTGAATGTTCATGGCCGGCAGGTGAGTCATTAATCCTAGTTGAAGAAATGACTTGAACCACAGGTCCGACACAGGGGCAGGGCTGTGGAATGATTGCTCTGGCCTCTTGTCCAAACAGGCCACTTCAGTCCTGAAACATGTCATCCTGACTTCCTCCTAGACAGTATAAAATTGTTACACTGAATCTTTCTTATTACATATTCACAAATTATGGCCATTCTTTTGGGTGCCACAGAGCCCTGTCAAAGTGAAGTTCACTGTTTGTTTTCCACTTTTCATCTGGATCCTACAGATGAGAAGATTCACTGCAGCTTAGCTCTTTGTGCTTCTTACCCTTCACTTTCCATACCTTTCTTTCCTTTCAGTCGCCTCTGCTAATTCTTTGATTCATATATTTGGAGAGTGTACTCTGTCAAGCTTTGGGGTAAAAATAAGAAATAGTCTGCATCCTTGATGAGCCAGTGTCCATTGGCATATGTAGTGGTATAAACAGGCAACTCTTCTCTATTGTGATAGTGCTGTAATGCAGGCGCTCACCAAGTGCTGGAAGATTGCAGGTGGGAGAATGGAGAATTCAGATGGAGGAAGCTGGGAAGGCTTCAGAGAGCAGGGTGGCATGTGCGTAGCTCCTTTACAGACAGGGAGTTTGGCTGGCAGAGAAGGAGGAGTTGGGTGTTCCACGGAGAGGAGGTACATGTGCAGAGGTAGTGAGGAAGGAAAGGGCGTGGCAGGCTTGGGGACCATGAGAAGCATAGTGTGAAGAGTATGCTGCAGAAGCCAAGGCTGTGGCTGTCAACATAGTTGCAGCTAGATTATGAAGGACTTTGTGCCGTATAAACGGATTTAGTAGAAAACTTCTAGGTAAGAATATGAACTATTTCTGCTATTGGCTTTGCAGATATAGGATTTAGGAGGTTGATTCTAGGGATTCTTTTTAACTGTCTATGCTCACTTTTCTGAGGCCTTCTCGATACACTGACTAAAACCAGGACAGATGAAAATAAATCTTTTCATTTAAAAGAGCACAGTCATGGTTGACAGAGTCCTAGATGTAATCTCCACCCCTAAAAATTAGTCTTTAGTTCTAAATGTCACACTGATATCAATCTTTGAAATGAAGACTGGCAGTAATGCTGTTAAAATTGCAGCTCTTTAGCTTGGCAATCCAACATCAATAAAATCCAGGTCATCGGGTTAGCTATAGATGTAGATGGTGTGTCTCCCATTCACTCTTTTCTCGGTCTCCCTTTTCTCGGAAATCTTTAAGAGATTGAAAAAGCCACATTGCTCTTGGGGAACATTTTGAAGAGTTATTTGCCATTTTAGAACTAGAAATTGTGGTTGTCAGGCATTGAGACTTACCTGGTGCAGCCGCCAGCCCCACAGAGTCTTTAAGGAAAGGATGCATTGTGGAGTCACCAGGTTTTTTCTGTTTTTGGATTGGTTTAAATTTATTTTTTTATTGTAGAGACAAGGAGTTGCTGCATTTTTCCCCTGGTTGAAATGGTTTGATAGTATCGAGTTGATATTGGATGAAATGATAGTATTTTAGGGCATGCCAGTTTCCTTCCCATTTTCAGACATTTTATTCCTAAAAATTGCTTCTTTATAGCAAGAACAGGGACTTCCTTATGATCCTAATACATGCAAGTCAGCTTTAACAATTCCATACAAATAGAAAACAAAAAGTAAGATAACCCACACCTCTCCCCCTCACCCATTACAAAAGACCAATAGCTGTGCTTTGACAGTGGAATTGGCAGTGGCTCACCTTGCAAGGCTCAAGTCAAGAGAGTGAAGGGATGAAATACGTGGTTCTTTGCATTCTAAAAGGGTAAAATCCTCTAAAAAATTAAAGATCAGTGAGTAGGAAAGAAATTATTATGTAGGTATGTGAGAATATGTACTTCTAAGACCAAACACCTTGATTTTTCTATTTTCTTTGGGGGTTTTCACGTATTTTCTACTTCCCTTTTGCATGGGGAAAAAGGTTTAGTATGAGTTTAATATCCTCTCTTCTTATCTTTATTCACCAATTGTATTCTGCCCTCATTCCTGCTCTCTTCAACCTCTACAGGATGTTCTTAGCAGCATCTTCAAATGAGTCATCTACGCATTAATTCAACAGTTCAATTCTTAACTGTTCAAAGAGCACAGTCAGCATAAACAATGACCATGCACTCTTAAATCATTCTTCATAATGATCCTGCTTTGGTCAAGAATTTAATGCCTGAACTTGTCGATATTCATGGTGCAACATGTCCATTGTGCTGCAAAAAAAAAAAAGTGTAAGAGTCACCAGTCCTTGCTTACATCTTCATTGGAAGGTCATTTTATTATGTAGAAGTCAACAGTCTTATTTCTGTAGCCTTTAAGCAGAGTTGAACCAGATGCCTAGTGTCACTTTCCAGAGTTCAGGGTCTGTACTTTTCATATATTGGATATAGGAACTGTCACATGGCAGGTATGTAATAAATTGGTCTTGTGTCCTAAGACGAAGTTGAGGAACCTGTATTTAGTGATTTGGATTTCAGCTTGCTTCTATTGGAAATATGCTCTGTTTCTTTTTGGTTAGAGTGAATGCAGTATCCTTTCTGCTGTCTCTTTGTTAATGAAAACTCAGTTTTTGAGGTGGGAAACTATATCAACTATACTTTCTATTTTGTTTTTCTCTAGGGTTTTGCTCAGAGTCTCCTAAAAAAGATGTCACATCGAAGTTCTATTCCTGGCTGTGGAGTGACTTTTGAAATTGTCTCCAATATTCCAGAGGTATGAAGAATCATATGAAATTTGAATTTACCAAAAGTAAACATGTAAAAAGAGCCAACTCCCTGAAAAGTCACCTACTCAAGAAATATGTGTTAAATGAAAATGTATATTTAGGGAAATGCTACATATTTGTAGAGGTATTTCCTAATCTTAACTTGATTCATAGTAAAATGTATTTGTGCCTTTAAAGGTTCTGGTTTTAGTATTTTGTTAAAGAAGAACTTTTGAAAAGCAAATCAACACGTTTTTACTCATAGAAGAAGACATAAAAAACAATATTATAACCCTCAAAGGGAGGCAACATAGTATAACATAGAGATTCAGGGTTTCATTTTGAAATTAAACAGAAATCTTGTTCCTGCCACCTCTTAGTGAAGTGAACTCGGGTAGGTTATTTGAGCCTAAATTTTTCATTTATCAAATTGGGTTAGTGATACCTCCTGTACAGGGTTGTTTTTAAGGATTAAATGAGACAATGTGTACACATTGTTGTGCACATGCTAAAAATAAATTGTAATTGCCATTGTTACTATAGTTACTATTATTCTTTTATTATTATTATTTCTGTTTCTAAACTAATTGAGATATTCACAGGAATGAAACAGGTGGAACTTAAAATACCTCTGACAGAAGCTTGCTGGAGGATGTAGCTTATATTTGCTACATAATATTCCTATTATTTAATCCCGAATTTAGGCAGATTTATTCCCCTGGCCACTGGCACAGCTGGTGTTGGAGGCCTTCCTTACAGCGGTAGGAGAAGCGAGGGTTCTAAGAAAAGAACTCGATGAAAACGGAGAAAGAAGAGCAGTTCCTTCTGCCACACTCACCATCCAGAAATCTGGGTGTGGACGAGGAGGTGTAGACTGCTCTCCTGGGGAGTGGAGGAGTGGGGATGTGAGCCCTGGGGGTGGGTGCTCGCTGCCAGCGTCGTTCTCTTCTTTTGAGAGCTGGGTATCTGTTGAGTGATTCTGTTGAGTATTTGAACAATGGGTGAACGATACATATTTTAGTGCAGAGATCAGTTTTTGGAAGACTAAAAAGATTACACAGTACTTAGGCCTTGTTTTAGATTTCTTGTATTGCAAAACACTTTTTCTCTCAAATAATGTCAAATAATAACTTGCTCTTTCCTGGATCTTCAAAGTGTTAGACTTACATAGTAAATATTAACTGTTTAATTTGGAACCTGCTGAACATTTAAAAATTAAGCCTGTTTTCAGAGTTAGATTAGCTGTAAAATCTTAGGTCTGTAATAGATTGCTCTTTGTATATGTACTTACATGTTTAGCTAGAGACTTACTGTTTATTCTCTGTATCTGAATGTTTTTTATGTTTTTCTAGTTGTTTCAGATCCTAACTCTAGAAATGGTTTGAATGCAGTTGAGAAACAATCACAGCTATAGTGAACTATCCAGTTTTTCCTTTTCTCTCTTCATCTTCCTTCTCCTCTCTCCTCCCCTCCCATTTGGAGTTTTCTTATCCTCTTTAAAAGTGCTTTTAGGGGGCTGGCCCCGTGGCTTAGCAGTTAAGTGCATGTGCTCCGCTACTGGCGGCCCGAGTTCGGACCCCGGGCACACACCGACACACCGCTTGTCCGGCCATGCTGAGGCCGCATCCCACATACAGCAACTAGAAGGATGTGCAACTATGACATACAACTATCTACTGGGGCTTTAGGGAGAAAAAGGAGGAGCATTGGCAATAGATGTTAGCTCAAGGCCGGTCTTCCTCAGCAAATAAGAGGAGGATTGGCATGGATGTCAGCTCAGGGCTGATCTTCCTCACAAAAAAAATTTTTTAAAAATTTAAGAAAAAAGTGCTTTTATTTGTCAGGTGATCTAGTTTTCAAAGGGAAGAAATGTGGGGGAATCAGCTGAAAGATAAATGTATAGCTTCATGTTATTGGGCTGCCTGTTAATAATTAGCTAAACATCTAGGTTTGTAAGCGTTATTTTCACATTATCAAATCCTGATAATGAAGAAAAAGGAAAAGTGAGGCTTCAAGTTTATAGTGTAAGGATTACACTTAATTTTTAATTTAAAAACAAAATAAAAATATTCCTTAAGAAGCTAGGTTTCATTATGAAAAAGCCTCCAAAAGTTCTTCATGTTCCATATTACAGGGGCTATGAGGGCTTGGTGGCAAAAAGAAGTAAGTGGTCCTGGGCCAGAGAGCGACAAGAGACAGTTTCGCCATTCTTTTTTTTAGAACAACTAGAATGCTTTCATTGCTAGTGGAAGTATAGAATGATACAACCACTTTAGAAAACTGTTTGGCGGTTGATTATAAAGTTAAAAATACAGCTACCCCATGACCTAGTAATTCCACTTGTACATGCTCACCCAAGAGAAATAAAAGTATATGTCTGTAAAGACTTGCATAAGAATATTCATAGCAGCTTAATTCAAAGTAACCCCAAACTGGAAACATCCCAAACATCCATCAATGGATGAATGGATAAATAAATTGTAGTATATCCATACTGTGGAATATCACTCAACTATACAAAGAAATGAACTCTGTGAGTGAATCTCAAAATCATTATGCTGAGTGAAAGAAGCTAGATGCAAAAGGGTATGATTCTATTTATATGAAATTCTAAAACAGGCAAAACTAAGCTATGGTGAAAGAAATTATCTTGCCTTGGGGAAAGGGAAGGGATTACTGTCAAGGCCATAAGTGAACTTTCTGAGGTAATGGAAATGTTTTATATCTTGATAAGGATGTGGGTAACATGGGTATATACATTTCTTTAAAACTCAAATTTTCCGTTTCTTATAAAATCAAGAGAATGTCTGTTCCCTTCAGACACCAAAAAGTATTCTGTGTTGAGTGGTAAAAAGAATACTCTATCAGGAGTCAGGAGACCTAAGTTGTAGTCTTATCTCTTTTGCTATTATGTGGTCTTCCTCTTTCCTCATCTACAAAATGAAGATGATTCCTTCTTTTCAGGATTATTAAAAGGCTCAAATGAATTACTGTAGGAGACAAAAAGTTTTGTGAACTTAAGCTACCTTCGAAATTCTCATATTTTATCTGTTCAAAGGCTCATTTAAATTTTTAAAAATATTTTTGAAGTTAGAATGTGTCTTATAGTTGATGATATCTTAAAATTAATTGGCAGAGTTTTGTTTTTTCTCCTTAGTGGTCTATAAAATAATGTTTTTTCTTAAAGTTGATGACATCTTAAGATGCAGGGACATATGGATATATATTTTATAGTTTTTGATATTGTTATAACAAATTCACAAGTAAATAAAGTATCTGATTTTCCCTGAGAAGAGTAATTTGTTATGAACCAAGTTTGCTAGAAATAATTAAGTATATTAACAAAGTCCCTCCCTGACTTGTGAGTATTCCGTTTATATGCATGACTGGCCCATGTCAGAGGAGCAGGCGTGGGCTCTGCCGGATAGCACAGTGAGTGAGAATTTGCCTAGATACTTCTCTTCTTGGCTGGCTCTGAGCTTTTGGCTTCTCCTCTCCAGAGTTGAAAATTGAGACCAGTTTTAGAAGCTGCCGCATTTTGAATATGTAGTCTGTAGTAGGCTGCTTAGCAAAAGGGTTGAAACTCAGCCCTTCTTTCCACGCTTATTCTCTATACCTCCTATTCTCTATACCTCCTACTAGGGTTGTTTGAATCCCACCGGTATCCCCTTATCTAGCTGTCACTTAGGCTCCTCATTCCTCTCTCCGGCCCTCAAGATACGTTCCTGAAGTATCGTCCTGGTGGTTATATTTTCAGCTAGCCCACCAAATCCTTTCTAACAAGTAATGTTTTTATTTGCAATGGAAATATAGTAGAGACGGTTTTGTTGAGAATGTGCTGTTTCAGCTATGCTGTGTTTAACTAGCCTTTCAAGTTAACCTAACCACCATTTATACCATGATATCTGTGGGAAAATGCATTTGAGTTCCAAGAGCTGACTTTAAAGTGGGATTTTGGAATACATCCCATTTGTTAGTTCAGTACACTGTGTGTGTGTATTTGTATAGATCAAGAAGCTTTTATAATGTTTTCTTCTACAATGTGCTTAATTTTAATATAAACTTTCCATTCTCCAGGATGCCCAGGGAGTAGAGGAGCGAGAAACATTAGCAAGAATGGCAGCTAATGTTGAAAACGCAGCTTCTGCTGACTCAGAGGCTTATATTGAAAAGTACCTCAGAAGTGTGCTGGCTGTGGAGAACCTCCTTACTTTAGATCGTCTTCGCCAGGTCAGCCCTCAGAGCTGGTCGCAGTGTTGCTCACCCAGCCTGCGTCTTTGTTTGACTTTCTGCAATTCACAGTGTTGTTACATCTAAACTTTTGAAGTGTCTGTTTAAGTGGAGCATATTAATTTAAATTAATCGTGCCAGTTAAGTCTTTGAAGATACAGAAGCTACATTAGGAAAGTTACTTTTCCGAAGACACTAAATGGTATCTAGTTGCCTTAAGGTAGTGGAAGAAAATATTTAACTCTTGCTGGTTAAAGAATTATTTCAAAAATTTCTTTATACTGGGCATTTTAATGTGGCTGAAGAAATATATAGTCATGAAGCAGAACAAGCCCTTCTTTGCTTAGCTGGACATGCCTGCTACAGCCTTAGAGCAGATCTCTAGAAGGGATAATAGAAATGCCAGCAGTAAACCTAGTCCATAGAGAAACCCTAAACCTCACTTTATTTAGCAACATTGAGACTTTTTTTTTAACCAAAGATACTAATAAAAAATAAAAGTGAATGGTCTAATTTTCACTGTCTTTCTCCTGGGAGTAACTTCTGGCCAGCCAAGGGGGCCGTCAGTAGATAAAGAAAAGAATGCTGTAGGTAACCCATCAGCTATATAATTAACTTTGAGTATTCCACAGTGATTGCAATTGGGTCATTCTGTCATGTGAAGTAACAGCCATTATTTAAAGAACTACGAATGTGTGTATAGACGGCAGCTCTTAAAGCCTGCTTCAGATAGTGTTGCTTTGGGAGTGTGTCTCTAATGTGTATTTTTCCTCTGCGTATTTTCTGACTGACAGGAAGTTGCAGTGAAGGAACAGTTGACAGGAAAAGGGAAGCTGAGTAGGAGGAGTATTAGCTCTCCAAATGTGAACAGAGTGAGTACGTGGGTCCCCATTCTGGTCTCTGCCTGGGATCTTTTTCTCTCCTCCTCTTCCCTTGGATAGCTCTTTTCCATCCTTTAAATCTCATCTCAGATATCATTTCCTTCTCTGAACTGATTTAAGTCCCCCCATTCTCTCCCCTGTAGGGTCTGTGCACTGTCCTTACTAACATTATAGGAAAAGTAGCCACTTAAGTCCCTCAGATGTTCCTCATTTATCTTTATATCACCAGTGCCTAGCGCAGAGACTGCAGGGGTTCAGTGAATCTTTTTGAACTAAAGCAAAACTAGCCAAGTGCCCAGGGCAAGCCATTTGAGTTTTCTGGGCTTAACTTACTTACTTTTAAGTTGAAGAGAAGTCTGGATTATGTTTACAAACTTAGTTGCTTATAGGCCATCAAGGGTAGTATAAATGAATAAAATAGGTTTGTTTCATAATAGTGTCTGAAGTTTGTTGTTGTTGTTTTTTAAAACATAGATATAATTTATGTGCATATTAAGCATATGGTAATTCTTCACAAAGAAATATGCTCTTGGCCCTGTGATTTATCTCTCCTTCCTTACTTTTGATAAAGATGTAGATATGAGAAATATTACACCTTTGTCTGAACTTTGCATCAAGAAAAACCATGATACAAGCATTGTACTAAAGAGCAGCTGACCCTTAGCCTTAGTGTGAGAGAGAGTAGGGAGAGGAAGGAAGGGCATCAGACTGGAGCACACACGTGCCGAGTGACTGAACGACGTCAGTAATGGTCTCAGGCTGGAAGACTGGGAATGTTCTCAGACGTTGAGAAATATCACTTTAATCCAAGGTAAATATCTTCTCATTCCTTTAGAAGATGATGTATTAAAATGTACTGATATATGCAGGGATTTGGTATTTAGAATCCTATGGTTAAAAACAGTTTGTGTGTATACATTTGCTACAAATACTTAGAGAAAGAAGTCATAAGATCAGGACTTGGTAAGGTAACAGTAACCTGGTCTCCTTTAAATAGAAGGGAAAAAACAAATGACGTAGCTCTTTCTCAGGCCCAGCTGGTTATTGCCTCAGTGTGAACTGGATATCTGATCTTATGCAAACCTCCCATCTTAAAATTGTTGATAACCAATTCGATTTTTAAAAAAAATAATTGTGCCTAACAGTGTCCTGAAGGCCACTAAGTCTAGTTTGCAACTTGGGTCTCGACAGCCTCTCTGCTACCATCCAGCTTTAACACTCTGTTAATTTGGTTTTCAAAGTCTCGTGTTTCCAGGACTGTAGATTTATGTACTTTCACACATAAAGGACTAATCCCCCTCTTTATTTCTTCTTCAGTTGTCTGGTAGCCGACAAGATCTCATTCCATCCTACAGTCTAGGCAGCAACAAGGTAAGTGTTTATAACTATTTTCTGTCAGTCTTAGACCTATTTCCCATTTAACTTTCCTCCTCTCAAATTCCACATGCTAATTTTACATGCCACAATTTCTCCTACTCTCCTAAACTATGTGAAATTTATTGCAAAGTGTTTAGAGTTCATTTCTTTTTATCTACCAGTTAGAATAAGATTTACTAGAACTTCTCATTACTCTACTTTTTTAGGGGCTAAAAACCAATTTTGTTGCTGAAGTTCGTTTTTCTGTTTAAAACATTTTTCCTGCTGTGTCAGAAAAGGAACTTCTAATCAGATTTTTTTTTTTTTTTTTTTTAAAGATTTTATTTATTTTATTTTTTCCCCCCAAAGTCCCAGTGGATAGTTGTATGTCGTAGCTGCACATCCTTCTAGTTGCTGTATGCGGGACTCGGCCTCAGGATGAACGGAGAAGTGGTGCCTCGATGCGCACCCGGGATCCGAACCCCGGGCCACCAGCATCGCAGCGCGCGCACTTAACCACCAAGCCACAGGGCCGGCCCTCTAATCAGATTTTTAATGGTAAAATATTGGTGTAATGATTGATATGAGGAATAAGAAGTTAATACTATTTGTTAAAAGAAAGAAAAATAAGGGAACAGAAATTTTGTTCATTGGAATTTATTTATTTACTTGTTAATATAGCTTTTGCCAGTTTAACAGAGTTTTAAGCATAGATAATTCATTATTATTTACTTAAAGGTATCACACTCAAAATTGTCATAACTGGATGTCACATATCAAAGTTTTGTGCCTGACATCTTTTGAGAGACCTGGTTAGACACTAGTCCTGTCAGCTGTGGGCGACATGCTCTGTATTAATATCTTAACCCTTGAGGATGTTAAAAGTGAACGGTGTCATATAAAATGGTCTGATATCAGGGAGTTGTTTCAAAATAATCTCGGGGGAGGAGTTGGGGTATAGATAAAAGAAGATTGGCTATTTAATGATAATTATTAAAGCTGAGTGAGATTCATTATACTACTCTTTATTATTATTAAGTACTCTATACTCTGTTTTTGCATATGCTTGAAATTTTCCTTATAAAAACTTAAGAAAAAGAACACTAAAGTTGATGAATAATTAGACTCATTTTTAAAATCTAAGTTTTATTTCAGGAAGCTACTAGTAACCTATATCTTAAAAGTGAGAGATCTGTTTATCTCCATCTATTTGTCTATCTACCTACCTGCCAATCAATGTTTATAGATATAGATTGCTCTCCAGCTCATCAGTTTACTCATCACCTGCCATGTCTCTGAAAGTGTGCTAAGGTTTAGTACTCCTTTATACTGGTTCAGTGATAGATTTGATTAATTCTTGGTAAGCATAGCATAGATTGCGATTACCTGAACAAAGCAGAGTTTTTGGAAAATTGATTGTGTCATTATTTTTAAGTGTAAATAAATGAAATATTTTAAGGAAAATATATTTATAGAAAAAACATGACTTTCTGTGTTCTTCTGGAAATATATCTAACCCAAATTCTCAATTACATTATAAGTGCCTTGAAAGAACTGGCCAAAATTTCTTCAGCTTTTCTATCTCCTCGCAGTTCCCTTCTGTTTAAATGGGGGAAAATATAGAAAATAATAGTTTCTACTTGAAAGAAAATTATTGTGCTTCACCTACACCAAATAAATGGAATAAAGGAACATGGACGGTATAATAGAAGTATGACTAGGTAGAGCAGGAGCCAAAAGGAGGGAGTGCACACTTTCATAGGCATTATTCGGGGATCAAGAGAGGCTCCAGAGAAGAGATAACTGCCCATATGCTTAATGCTGAAAGATGATAATGTCCACTCAGGCAGGGAAGGAGTAGAAGCAACAGTGTGAACAGAAGCATGGAGGGGGCCGGCCCCGTGGCTTAGTGGTTAAGTGAGCGCGCTCCACTGCTGGCGACCCGGGTTCGGATCCCGGGCTCGCACCGACGCGCTGCTTCTCCGGCCATGCTGAGGCCGCGTCCCACATACAGCAACTAGAAGGATGTGCAGCTATGACACACAACTATCTACTGGGGCTTTGGGGGGAAAAAAAAAAAAAAAAAAAAACTTTAAAAAAAAAAAAAAAAAAAAGAAGCAGCATGGAGGGATGAAAAAACTTGTTGTATTCATGACAGTACATGCATCGTGAGTAAGGTGGAGGGTGTGTTGTGGGGTAGAACCCGGAGGAAGGAGCCTTGTTTTAGAAGTTCTAACATTATGTGCCAAGGAGTAATGGGGGAGTTGGGTAGCCACTGAAGGAGTAACAGGACAGTAACATGGTTAAATTTGAATCAGAAAGTTTTTTTAAGAATCCATCTAAACCCCACTCGTGTTCCTGGCTATGGTCTATAAAATTACATTAGAATAATATATATGCTACAAATGTATACGGTTATCAATACAAAAGTGTGAAAAAAATTTTTAATTGGAGAGGAGAGAGATCAGGTAGGTGAGAGGATTCAGCAGTGGGGAGGGGGAGGAAGAGAGATTCAAGATATATTAAGGACATAGAACTAGAACTCTGTGGACATGAAGAATGAGGTTGAGCCGGGGAGGAGACTAGGGTGACATCCAGGTTTCTGGATGACATTGTAGAGAGATGAGCCACAGGAGGGCAGGTTTGGGGAAGAAAATGATTTAGTTCAATTTTTGACATAAGATATCTATGCCAGTTCACAGATCTGGAAGCCTGGGCTGAAAACAGATTTGGGAACTCAGGGCATAGTTGAAACAGTGTGAGGGATTAGATCACAAAGGTGAAGCTATGAGAGCATGATGATAACACTGCGGGGCAGGCCCAGGAGGAGAAGCTATGAGAGCGTG